GTGGAGGGGAGTCCCCATTACCTGTAAAGCGCTTTGAATAGAGTGTCCAGAAAAGTGTAATAATATTATTATTATAATAATAAATGATTCATGATGTTCTCAGCATGTTCTAATCATAGAAAATGAACCATTGTTATTACCAATATTCAGAAAGATATTCTGATATTTGAGGGAGAGTATGTTACTGATTTTATAGGTTCCAGTGTGGGGACAATATTGTTCTGCGGATTTATCTATTTGCAACAATGCGGAGGAAAGTTCAGTGTCAACGTGAACTTTATAACCCTTATAACATGTTAATCTTCAAGCTTTGCTCTGGATGTGGTCTTAAGACCACAGGTTTGCTGTCATCCCTGGCTTGTGCTACTACACCTGTGTTTGAGAAATCTCGTCAAACTCTATCACACCTTGCAAGTATTCAAAGGCAAGATTGTGACAGATTGTGAAGTGACATTGCTTATTTTTAATGAGAAATTGTTCAGTATCATTGGTAAGCATTTTTTACTTTTTTTTTCTTTTGCTCCAGGTCTTAGATGTTTACTCTGTTTTTATAAGTGATAGTATTGTGAGCAGCGATTTATTTTGCTTCCTCATCCTGCTTTTCATTCACGCGCTTTACGGGTCCAGAAAACACCCCCTTCAGGAACATCTGCCAAGCAAGCTGTGATACATCATCATCAGAAGCCCAAACTTTCTTTGGGCTTTTCTTCCTTTTTCATCTAACAGGAGTGCTTACTGCCAGTAATTAGGATATTAATCAAGTTAATGAAAGAGCTCTGAACTGAACAACTTTCTTTTCCCCCAAAACTACTGCTGCTAGGTGACGTCCTAAAAAGGAGGTCTAGCCAATGTGCCGTTCTGCTTTCACCACACACTTTACTGTCTTATTTTGTATATTTCTGTGTGCATGAACTATACCGACTAGAAATAACACTGTATGTCCAGGTGAATGTAGTGATGTTGACTCCATAATTGTCACGTTAAATTTGTGCAGAACAGTACTTTTTTCTTGAACGATAAGATTTTGTTTTAGGCACAGGACAGTGTTTGTGTACACACAGTACTGGACAAAAAGTACTATCCAATGTAGTGTACCAGACTGGGAAGGCCAAAGGTAAGAAGACTCTGAGACTGGGCGACTGAAGGAGAGCAGTGAAGTTTGTGGCAGTGCTGCAGAGAAAGATAGTGAGAGTCCTGATGAGAGTGCTAATGTGTTTGTTTCTGCCTAATTGGGTGTTCCTGTCACGCTAGGTGGGTGCGCAAAACCAGACTTGTACACAAACACAGAGTTCTCAAGAGGCCTACTCCATGCAGGTAAATCCTTCTCACACTCCATTATCTCTCCTGTGCACATTATCTGTGGTAATGGATAGGCAATTCTGTTTTCTTTACAGAATAATACCAGAAAAGACATCATTAAGTTTGTTTATGATAGACATTTGTGTTGATTATTAGTACTATTTATTTGGACTAAACTGTTTGGTAGTGATTGCTTGGTAATTAGTTGTTAACAGGCCAATTGATTAATTCTTTAGTTTGTTTCCCATTTCCTGTCTCAATATATGAACAATTACATGTTTAACTGTTAATTAATTTTTTTGTCTATTAATTTATGTCCTTCTGTGATAATCCATTGCATATTAATATTACCACATCATATAAACAGGTTTGTTGGAAGTTGGTTAAAGAAATGCCAGGGAAGAAGGTTTTATTAGAAATAGAAGGGTAATTGTCCATTATACTTTTTTAAGTGAATATTGAATGTTCCAGATATAGAACTGTATTTACTCTTAAGTTGAATTTAGCTATTAGTTTTAAGGTCTCATGAACTCTGCGGGGCAAGAGTTTCAATTAGTGATAATAGTGTAGAACTCATGAAATGCCATTCTGGCATTTAGTGTTTTACTCCTCCAGTTTGGGAAAGAGAACAAATAACAGGCTTTGTCCCTCCAGCCTGTTTTTATCTTTCTAGTAGTTCTATGAAAATGCATTAACTTGTAAACCAAGCATCAAACAATAATTGTTCATCAGACTTGTCAAGCGTATCCTTTTGTGGGGTGTGCCTAACGACACCAGTAATAACAAAAATTCTACGGTGACTCACAGTATACTTTTTTTTCCACAACTCAAAATGGGAGGCTTCTGATCTGAACTGTCAAGTGCACTGAGCTACATTACTGGCATTATTTCATTAGGAGTAAAGTCTTAAAATGACTTACTGTATGTAATCTAAAAGGTTTTTCAGTAAAGAGAAAACAGAGATTTAGAAATTCGTTTTGCCAGTGGTGCTGAAATCATACTGATCCCAGAAAATTCCTAGTAACAGGCTGCCCTTAGCGCTCTACAATAACAGCGTGCGGAGCCCTTCAAACATTGTTCAGTGCACCCTGCTGATGTCTTTGATGCCAGCTGGGACAGTGCTTCTGAAAGAAGAGAGAGGATGCAGTCTGAAAGGGTTTAAAGCAACTACAGTAGGTGCAAAATGACTTGCAGCAACTGAATAAGCATCTTTAAAACCTGAAGGAGCATGTTGAGGTAAATTCCATGCTGGAAAGTAAAAAGGAGTAAATTTGCACTGCGTTACAGGTGTCAAGCTTTCTTCAAGGTGCGTGCAAGTGGGAGAGCAGAGATGTCTGGTAAAGAGGTAGGGTGGAGGTTAAAAAAGGGATGAAAAGATGGGAATTTGGGAGAAAAGCTCTAAGGAGACGAGTGGAATATCAGAAGAGGATCATTGAGGGCTTGGGGAGGGAGGGGTGAGGAGTGAGCCAAGACTAGGATAATTTCAGCTTTTAATGAAAGCCCAGGAGTCTTAGAATCCCATGGGAAAGGTTACAGACAGAGACATCATTTCTGTCATGGTCAGATGTGGTAAAATAAGGGATATTTTATCCTCATAGCTCTGCCATGCTCCCTAAAACAATCAGCCAGTCTTCCTCCTGTTTCACTGATGTAAATGTCAGGGCATATTCTGCAATAGTTTCAACACATCTTTGCTTTTAACATACTGTATCTGCACCTGCAAGTTCAGCTAACTTTTGATTCCTCAATCATGTAGCCTGTATCTGTGCATTCTCTTTCATGTTAGTATTTATTGTTGTGTCATTCTTCTGGTCTGTGCACGATTTAACCCTGTAAGAGAGAATGGTCTTTAGTGTGTCTTTTCCTCCTTGGAAACTTGGGTTTACTAAAGCACGAGCATAGTGGACCACCGACAGTACCTGGGCCGGCCTTGTCTATACAGTAGCTGCTTTTTGCATGGGGAGAAGACTTTGTTTCCTATTCTTGAGCACTCAAGACATTTCAATCCACCCATCCAATTTCTAACCGCTTTATCTAATGCGGGGTCATGAACCTATCCCAGCAAGCAACTGGCACGAGGCACGGTAATAATAGACTTTATTTTCACATAGCTCCTTTAAAAGTGGGTTCTCAAAGTGCTTTACAGAAGAAAAACAACAAAGAAAAATTAAGGTATGGAGTACAGTAGGAAAGCCAAGGGGCACACAGAACCAGTTAAATAGAAGCCCTTCTAAAAAAGAAGGTTTTGAGTCTAGCTACTGATACACTGCAGGGCACACTGCAGAAGCTAATTAACCTATTTGTATCTCTCTGGACTGAGGGAGGAAACCCATGTGAACATGGGGACGACATACAGACTTCACGCAGACAGCACCCCGGGTCTGAAATTGAACCCAGGGCCCCAACACTGCGTGGCAGCAATGTTAACCATTATATAACCATGCTTCCTGAGACATTTATAATATGTATAATAACCTCATCTAGAATATTGTATTCAGTTTTTGTCACCATACTACAGAAAGGGTATTATGCTGTAGCTTTAGAAAGAGTTCAAGGAAGAGAAACAGGAATAATTCCTCTTCTCATGGGACTGTACTTCAGTATAGAACAAATCAGATTTGAGAGTTTCAAATCCCAATTTATAATTCTAAGGGTTATAAATTGGGACTAAGGGACTATTTCATTCTCGGTAGTGAAACAATGACTAAGGAACAGAAGAGAATTTAGAATGGAGAAAAGGAAAGCACATGTTTACACACAGAGTTGAATGGGTCTGGAACAGACTTCTCAGTCAAGTGGTTCAGTAGATGCCTGACCTCTGGGTTCCTTTAAGAAACAGCTAATCAACATTATTGATATGCTTGGCTACTAACCTATCAAAGGAGCAACATTTGCCAAAGGATTTGCTCTCATTTTCAAATTTGATTATGGTCTTAAAGTTACGTAAATGAAGCACAGTTATGGGGTTGCCTTGGGAAATTTCTGCCCTAATTCTTAAAGGAACAAAAACATTCTTTTTTTCTGTGCCCGCCGAACATCTCATTTGAAAAAGTCAATTAATTAGACAGGAACTTTAGAATTTTGATGAGAGATTCATGTGTAAATGGGACTATCAGAACTGGAAGACTATTTATTACAAATCCATAATGGCGTCAGTATCAGTCCTCTCAATAAAAGGCCTGGACTGAAAGCTTGTCCGTTGGGATTATACTTCACGATTTCCTACCCTTCCTAATCACCAATAACCTTTCCAAGGGCACCATTGTATCCCAGCTCACTTTGTTAAGATAGGCGTAATGGCTTTTCCTACAAAAAAATATCCTACTAAAGAAAGAACAGGGGAGAAGAAATTAATGTATCCCTTCTTTACCTGATAAAGGAGGTAGTGAGAATTTAAATGGCATGAAGATAATCCTTTTTCATTAATAAGAATGAACAAGTGTCAGCCATTCCTGTTATTTCATTTTTTTTTCCATTTAATCTGTGGCCCAAGCCCTTTCTGAAGCAGGAGTGTTTAAATAAAAATCCTAATTTGCGCTCTTTCGGTTTTTCTTTTTCTTTCAGAACCCTTCGAGGGTCCCGTTGAAAGGTAAAACTGTTGAATGCGGTACTGTTAGTTCAGCATGTAAAACGTCCGTCACCTGTTCAGAATGGAAGTACTGTATTCTGTGGGGAATTGCCACCTTTGGTTTTAGAGGGCTCTGATAAAGGAAGGATGTCCCTGATGTTGTAAATGTGTCCCTGTTGAGATACAGTGGAACAGCTCACCTAGCCCCGTGTCTGTTGGAGAGGTAGTAATGAGGGTGGCTTTTATCTCCACATGACGTCAGCAGTGCACAGGAACCCCAAAACCCAGCCAATGTCAAGGAATCCCCTTTTTTTATTCTTTATTTTAAACCCCAAACCCCTGCCCTCCTTACATGTCACAAAACCTCGACATATAAGCAGTTGTTTATTCTGGACGAAAGCCAGAGAGATCAATATTCTTTATTTTGACTCTAAAGTAGTAATTGACTCTCTTCTCCTTGTAACAAGATCTCAAGCCACTGTACCTTTTTCACTTGACTTTCATTCTCAGCCTAATATTCCAGCATGAATAACACATTTCATTGAGGATTATCTTAACTATTTATATCAACCCTCCAGAGTCTTTATATGAGCTTAATACTTAAAAGTTGAATACCATTAAAGATCTATGAATGTGTGAATTAATTAAATACATGCATAAATAGTGAAACAGGAAACATCTTTCACCAGCTATCTGGTAACTCACTTGCACATGTTTGACCTAGACTGTTTTAATGGAGTCACCTCTGGTTATATGTGCAGTCCTTTTTAATTAGAATGTGATTGCTGTGTAGAGTTGAATAAAATCAGGGGAGAAAAAATAAAAAGAAATTGCACAGAGCTCCCCCTGCTGGTCCCTGGTGGTGAAATTAAACTCGAGTGTATTAAATGGAAAAATGAGTGGAAAATGTTTAATTGCAGTTGTTTTTATGCTCTAATCGTGTCACCATTTTGTGGTTGTTTAATAGTACACGTCTATCAAGAGACAGAATGCAAGAATAGAATTATGTGTATGTCCAGTATGTTGCTAATATATACAGTATATAGAGAGACTCACTCTACCCTCCACAGTTATTACTCCTGATGGGATCAAAACCATCATATAACAGAAATATTTACAGAATACATAAAAGATCTTATTTAAAAATAAAAAATGCAATATTGCTAGCATTGCACTGTCAGAAAAGATATTTGTCCTAAAGAAGTGTAGAAAACAAGACTGTCATGTTTATTCACACTCCTGTAGTTAGTATTTGGAAATTCTCCTCTGCAGGGATTATATTAACAAGATACTTCCTGTACTGTGCTTTCTGTATAGTTCTGTTCTAGTACATCTGATATGGGATTTTTGCCTGTTCTTCAATGCAGAATGGCTCTAGGCCTTTCGTTGAGGAATGTTTTCTTATTTTTATTTTAACCATTCCTTTGTTGGATCCTTTTTATGCTGGAAAGTACATGAAGCTTCTTTGCAGAGGGGAAAAGGCATTGGGCAAAAATGTCCCGGGTTGTGGGCTCCAATATATATCCCTGACAAACACAAAACATAATTGACCCGCTATATTTCACCATGTTTTCTCCAGAGCTTCACTTTCTTAAAAACAAGCATAATGATGATGAGCTTGTCCAAAAAAAGCTAAAATTTCATTTTGTCTAATCAAAAGACTTCAGGTATTCAGGTTTAGTCTGGAAAAATGGAATTTCATCCTTGTATACTGTACGTCTACTTTGCAGCTCAGCCATGACTCCCACACTCATGTACTGTAGGCAATGCTGAAGGGTAGTTTCTGACAATTTGTATCCCAGAGATGCTAGTTACTGTAGGATGTACAGTAGTATCTCCCGTAGTTGCCTTCCAATTTAAGGTTGCCTCCCAAACCATTTGGGCCTGGTGACCAAATACACTTTTCTTCTGGGTATAATTACCACTATACAAATGGCCTAAAATTACATAATAAGCGCTTTGAGTGGAGTTCCCAGAAAAAGCACTATATAAGTGTAAGGAATTATTATTATTATTATTATTATTATTATTATTATTATTATTATTATTATTATTATTATTTTTGGTAGATATAGCTTTTTTCCAGTCCATATTTGTGGAGGTCAATGAACATTTGTTTGCAGTCTTCAGAGAGCTCCCTGACCTTACCTAATATGATGCATGGTATTACTGACAAAGTGCTGTGTCTTCTCTTTTTATACAACAGGGAAGAAGGACACCTTTGGGGGCCTCTACAGTATATCATTCCAGAAGCTTACATTGAATTTCCAGAGAGCAAAATGTTATTATACTGTAGATTTATATTTCTCAGATTTTATTTAAAGGAATTCTCAGAAGGCTATAAATATCAACCATTTTTGAAGCCGATACTATGGCTTCTTTTTAGGAAACAGCTGGATGACATCATTGGATCAATTTGCAACAAGATTCCTTAATGAACCTCACCTTTTTAAGCACATTTTAGGTTCTGCTAGAAGATCAGCAGTCTGTGCTACATTATGCACCCATGAAATAGTGAATTGAAAAGCTCTGCATGTTTTTGAATATTTAATACAGTACACGCTCTTACATCAAAATCTCTACTGATACCAAATGTGGAGTCGGTTATTTTCACATCTTTCTTGACAGAGACACATGGTCTGAACACTGCCTTTTCTTCAGAATTGTGTCTGTCAGTTTAATCTTTTAGTCAGTTTATCTGCTGTCTGCTTTTTCTAAAGAAGCTTTGTCATCAGCTGAAAAGTTAATATTGGGTTGAAAAATGTTTTTTTTACAGCATTTAGAAATACAGTGATTGCATTTATATAATAACTTCAGCAAACAAACCAAGCTATTTAATTTTAACAACAGTGAGATTCATGATTATACAAATTGCAGAATAATAATAATAACAAAATAATAACAAATAATTACCCCTTTATGAGAGTTAATAGATCATTAATGCGCTTGCCAAATAAGGTTTCTTTAAGGTTAGATGTACTGTACATGATTAGTCTGTTGCATTACATACAGTACCTCACCTCAGTGGAAATATGGCACTCCTGTCAGCTCTAATTTTCTGTTCCAGAGATCAGAGTTGCTCATTGGGTTGGAGTTTACAGCAGGAGGAGATACAGCTTGTTTCTAACATTATGCAGATGCTTCTTCCTTCGATGATGCTGGAACCTAATTTTATATGCCAAGAAGCCTTTTACCTTAGAGTGCTTTCCCTGAAACAATTGGAGAAATGAAAAGACACTTCCAAGTATAAAGTTGAATTTATGGGTAAAAATAGAAAAAATAAATAATACTTATACCTATAAAGCTCTTTTTTAGACACTCCACACAAAGCGCTTTACAGGTAATAGGGACTCTATTCCACCAACACCAGTGTGTAGCACCTACCTGGATGATGTGACAGCAGAAAGTGTGAGCCTGCAAGCAAACCACACATCAGCTATGAGTGAGGAGGAGAACAATCTTATAAAGACAATCATAGATGGAGATAATTAGGAGGCCATGCTAGGTAGAGGCCAGGGGGGCATTTGGCCACGACACCAGGATAACACCCCCACTCTGCCCTGGGATTTTTAAAGAGTCATTCACAGAGATTCAGAACCTTGAATGGGAATGCCCTGGAATTCAGAGAGAGACAGGACCTCCTTTCTACGTCTCATCCAAAGGACGACGCCTTTTTACAGTATAGTGTCCCCGTCATTATAGTGGGGCTTTAGGACCCACACAGACCGCAGGGTGAGTGACCCTACTGGCCCCCCTAACACCTCTTCCAGCAGCAACCTGAGCTTTTCCAGGAGGTCTCCCATCCAGGTGACTAACCAGGCAAAAAGGTGGGTGCAGGAGATAGGGGGCAGAAAAAAGAAGAGATACAGTCTTGCAAGATGACATTAGGCTCAGGAAGTCGGGCGTGTTGTGTGTGTGTGTTTGTGGGAATCTGGGCTGAAATGTAGAATTTCATACTGTAGGCCCTGTAATGAAGGCCACAAGAGGAACTGGCAGTGAAAAAAAAACACTAGATCCTTTCATCAAAATAAAATATTGTTTAGAAAGTTTCAGGGAGTTAAAAAGTTTGTCCACAGCTCTGCGATATGAGCCTTTTGTTTAGAATAATTACTTTCAATTTCTTAAAACTCATTGCCCATGAAATTGTTTTCAGGATGCTCATAAGCCTTGCTGTATATTTGAAATGCATTAAAAAATAAACCCCAGCTTTTTAGGTTTCAGAGCAAAAATGTTTTTTAGTAATATGCCCTTGTGCTTTTTTGATTTGGTTGTTTGACACAATTCAAGCCTTTTGCTTTTGCATATAGTGCAGACTGACAGTATGGAAAAGCCTGTGCTGGCCTGCTAAAGGATGAGTAGGCATTCTGCAGTTGTGTGGAACACAGGAGATAGATTATAGGGTGTTTATGATAAATATAATGAACTGTAGAATGCTGCTGTAGATTCAGAAAAATACAAATTTTGCAAATAAGAGGAGGCCGTTGGCCCATCGAAGCTCACATCAAAGCTCATTTGGCTTTCAGTAGTAAATTGATCCAAAACTCGTGTGTGGTAATTTCTCTAAAAACATCAGATTCAACAGCGTGGCTGCATAGCTTGTTGTAGACGTCTTTTCTCAATTCTAAAAGCACTTCCAGTGTAATTAGTAGTTAACATCTGTAAGTGCTGTGTTGTGTGTGTAATTAACAGGCAGCGCAGCGAAAGCTGGTTTGGAGGACTCTGAGACATGGACTTGGGTAGTCTCTGTGCCCCAGGTGAGTGGCAACTGTTTTGACCACTGTGGTCTTTGCCGCAGTGCATTGTGGGTAATCTGCCACCTCTACTTTTGGTATGATTTTATAGAGGTATTTATCTTGTACAATATTTAAATGGAAAACAACGAAACATTGCCTGCTGCACATAATGTCAGAATGAAATAATGTTTGACAGGAAACATGTCTCTCCTAACAATAAATAAAACAAATGAAGATGCGACACTACATTTAAAAGTACAGGGGGAACAAAACACAATACAAGAATTGTTCAAGCTGGCTTCATACAGCCTTACTGCCCTAATGGAGGTCCTGTGAACAGGATGCACTTAAAGGTAGGGAGCATCCCATCCCATCCGAGTCTCCACACTGTTATTTTCCCATACAGCATGACAAATTGTCACTCCTGTTGTCCCTACAAAGTAATCAACCTGTGACAAATGGTTTAGTTTAAGTAATTTATACTCATTTTGCTGCTGCAGAAAAGTCTGTGTTACTGGCAGAATATATCTCCAGTTTTCTTTCATGTTTCAGCAGGACCTTATACATGTTTGTTTTCAGTTAATTTTGTCAGCTTTTTAAGGCTTCCAGTTGGAATTTGCCACTGTAGAGATAAATTTTGAGCTGCCTAATTTAATGTGACAGTGTTTACACTATAATGTGAAAATTAAGATAAACTATCATTTATTTGGCCTGGTCTATGTCATATGCCTGTTAATTCATTTACTAAACAATAACCCCAGGAGACTGTTTTAATAATATATTCATCTGAAGCAGAGAGTGTTCACATACTGGATAAGGACAAAAGGCAGATGTTACTATTAAAAGAGTGAGAATTATTTAAATTATAATTATTTAAACTATATTCAAAGTTTTTCTTTGAAGGCTTAATTGGCTGTAAAATATGCTTCATGATAATGCTTTACCTTTTCAATGTCTGTCAATCTTTTATATTGGAGGTTTCTCAAGAACTTTGCAAATAAGGGTATTTTAATTATTTTACCTCAAAGCATTAAACATGCAATAAAACAGGAACAGTACATATACATTTTCCATTGCAAAACGCTCATTTTTTCCCACTTGCTGCTATTTTTTTTTGCATTGACCTGGGTATCTTATTTAAATTTAGTTTTTGAACAAAACATGAATTTTGACAGGTGAAACCTGCTCTTTGCCTCGATATCACTTTCCTTTTAGCATACAGAGAAAAATGGTTTACATGGTGTTTATTATAAAATAACATGCTTGTGTACATTATAAAATAAACTGCTGGTCGAGTAATGTTTTGCTCTGTCATAAAGTTACATAGACCCTGGTAAAATATATTTCAGGTATATATTTCAGGTCTATACCATATGTGGAGCTACTGACTTATCACATTAATCAGTTTCATAATTGTGATGCACGTATAAAGGCAGACCATTAGTTATCTTTTAATACAGCAAATGTATTAATGTCAGGTTAATACATCACTGTGTGGATCATACATTTGTCTGGAATCCCAAATCCTGGCTTTTCACTTGCCTTGCACTAAGTCATCATTTTCAATGTGACCAGGGCTGAGGCTGTGATAGCAGAGTGCAGGGCCACAGAGCGACACAGTAATTACTGGACTAGAATCCCTATACAAAGATCCCTTGACAGTCTTGTGGATAGGCAGACTGTTAGATAAATGTCAGAAGAAAAACATGGCTAACGAGGTTCATAAGAAAACACTAAAGCTATAATGGCAGGTCCCTAGGTTCATTATGTCCTGGTATTTGACCTTGAGGAATTGTAGGTCATTTACAAATTGTACAGTCTAGGTGAAAGATACCAATGGGCTCTTTCTCACTGGGTAAACAATTACACGATCAGGAAATATTTTGGATGGTGAAAGTTTATGATGCTGAAAAAAAAATATTCTGTTGTAGATATAATGATTTACAGTATGTTCCTGCTGTCAGCAGGCCTCCTGCAGTGGATGTTAAAACAAAACAACCCAGTTCTGCAAGGTGCAAGGAGGCTCTGAGATGTACAATACAACACTACCACAGTGAAGAGACTGAATAATTATGATTTCAGAAAGATGAATTGAAATTATCCTCTGAGGAGACCTGCAAAGACATTTTCGTTTCTGGTTCTCCTGTAGTATTATATTATATTAAGAGGCCTGATGTTAAACAGCCTGCTGTTTAAAAAATCAAAGTATCTATTCATTCTGCAGTTTTTCTTCCAAGATGTAAAACTTTTCAAAAGTCCACCCATGAAAATACCAATCAGAGAATCACATTAAGCCACAGAGGAGAATGTGAGAAAAGGTTTTAGCACTTGTATCGGTGCAATAAGATTAAAAAAGAAAGGAATCTAATTGCTTTTTGTGCTAATTTGAAATCCTTGTATTTCGCTGTAGAGTCGGAACAGGGTAATGGGTAACAGTCTAGAATGATTTAATTAAGAAACAGAACTCTGAATGTTCTCATGTTTGAATGGAGCAATCTGAAATAAAAAATACTACTAGTAGTAATAATATCACTATCTAGCTATTGTTGCATCTATTATCTATTGCTTCTGCTGTGTTTGATGCTTTGTTAAAGCTATGTTATTTTGCTTTTATTAGCTGAAGAGTGGCCACTATACCCCAACCAAGATTGAACCCATTCTCACAGAGTATGAGCTGGCCAAGACAGAGAGAATGAGGTCAGCTCTCCAGTATGACATGGACACACTGGTAAGTATTCCATAGCAGTGGTCATACAGAGACAACCTTAGATTTCTTTCAAGCAGTGTGAACTGTTGTGTCGAACAACCACTTGAAAGCTTTTATTTGAAATAAATGTAAAATGTACGATAGTAAAAAGGATGCATGGCATTCCGTAGTTTTTTTTCTGTTTAAGGTTGGTATCTCTTTTAAACTTTAAAATGATTCTATATTTAAATCATGTGCATCTGAGGAGCACTGATTTGCCCAATTTATTATGTGGTTTTTGATTACTTGACGTCTGCTGGAAGCTGATGTCCTCCAATTTAATTTATTGGCAGGCCCGTATAACAGCAGAGATTTTCTAGGGGTCGTCTACACAGAGCAATATAACCAATTCATACAGTGTTCAAGTTATTTCATTCCTCTTCTATTTTTTACTCATTTGGAAACATGACATTTTCCCAATCTAAGTCTGATCTCAGTTGAACACACTTTCCAACTATGACAAGAACCTTCACAAAAACAGCTGGCTATTGTGGGCACATCTGCTTCTGAACTGCTACCTAGTCATCCATGAGCTCACTTTCTTGTAACTTTATGAAATCTGCTTATCCAGCACTTTTAAATGGTGGTTATAAAGTGTTCATTTCCGGAAGGTAGCACTGCTTGGTTCAATATTAATTGTAAATGTCAGACTGTATCTGCAAACAGATTTATTAATTTCTACTACACTGGCCTCCTAACCCTTGTGTACTGCACAAAAGCAGAAAGAATCATTAACACTCTGGAAAAGAAAATGCAATCCTTTTCTTGATGCTGTACACAAAGCCTTGTTGTGTGAATGTTCTAGTACAGGAAGGGCACAGAAACAGGGATAAAAAAAACAGAATTCAAATGTATTTCACCTTGGATCATCAGATTCTTAGCTTCCACTGATGTTTTACACTGGTGAGTCCTGACCTATGGCAGTGCAGAATAACCATTTAAAATAAAATGTTCAAGTTCACCCTTTGAGTTGTTATAGAATGCAATTAGCTTGTCTGGTAATGCAGTACGTCAACTGCAGTAGTCTACATAATGTCTGGTAGTAAAAGATAAGTGTGTTGTTGAAAAACGCAGTTGACTCTTAGGTTAAGTAGATATTTTGTGTTTTAAACTCATATTATGGAAACTGGCCTTAGCTTATTTAAGACTGTATCTTCGATTTTGGGTTTTTGTCTTATCCAGAATACGGTCCAAATCTCTTTAACTGGCTTGAAAATGTAATTAAAAGGAAACTAATTTTATATTTTGGAAAAAAATTAGAAAAAATCATCATTGATGAGTGCAATTCAAACCACAATGAAAGTAAAATGTACACAGTAATGTGAAAACCTCCAATTTATATCACAAAATAGACTACATTTTCAGGTATGCGCAGCTCTGTATTCTATGATTCAGAAAGAGGCAAACAAAATTTCGGTGAGGCCCTATTACACTGTAAACAAGTTAGTCTTTGAAAACATCCTTTTTAATCCAATAGAAACATTGCTTTTGACATCAAGACGGTTTTGCCAACAAATGCAACATATTTGTTAACTCAGCATGCAGATCACATAGAAACATGTCTGAGGTGAAATGTCTGCTGCACTGCTTATACTTATTCATTTCGTACATTGCATTGCATTAGTCATGATTGCCTCGATTCTTGCAAACTCTCGCTCTCGCCTGTGGTGAGACCAGTAGTTTGTAACAACATGGCGGCCATAGAGTCCTTTCACAAAGTTCACCTTTTGTTAAATCGTGAGAGGCTGTCAATGAATTTATTTTGTCACAGAGACATCATAACAAATCTGAGAAATGTGGACTGCCGTTCCCCTTTAAATACCTTGATGTAGTTTTAAGGCAGCATGGTGACCCAGTGTTGATAAGTGTTGCCTTGCAGTGCTGGGACCCTGGGTTCAGTTCCTGGGGTACTATCTGCATTGAGTTTGTATCTCAGGTCTCCTCCCACAGTCCAAAGACTTACTGATAGGTTAATTGGCTTCTGAGAAAATTGGTCCAGGGGTGAGTGTGTGTTGTTATTGTTTCTGTCTTCCAGGCGATGGACTGATGTCCCATCCTGGGTGTATTCTGTCCCATTCTAAGGATATGCCACCTTGAATGTATCTGGCCTTGCGCCCATTATTTGTTGGGATAGGCTCTGGCTCCCCCATGACCCTGTACTGGATAAAAAATCACTGGAACATGCATGAGTTGTTGACTAACTGCTTAAATAGTTTGATCCATCTTGTACCCCCATTAGAATAAGCTTCAAAAAGAATTTTGAAAACATTTCAGTGAGGAAGATATTGCTCTCTATAAATTCCATTCTCAAGTTATACAATCTGTTTTCTTTTGTAAACAAATGTTGTGTTCTTCAGCCTTTCCTGTCTGGAAAGATTACGTACATATTCTTTGGAAATGTTTATTAAATTAGATTTACATTAATATCTTCAAAAATGTAATAGAGTTTTTTTACTTATCTCGTGCACTGGCCACTGCCTTTGATGGTTTCAACTTTGTATTGTGTGCTGTGTGCTTCCTTTAAAAAAAACCTCTGCTGTCAATCCAATATCTGTGCTATCGGCACTTCAACAGTGCTGCACCATTGTTTGTAACATTCAAAATAATAATCACCAGCATATTTTGCAACTTTTTAAAGTTAACTACATGCAAAAAACTTCTGAACAACTGAGTGAGTTGTCATAAAACAGCAACATTTTCAGAATGAGCCTTGTCTTATTAGTTTTTTTTTTAAAGTAGAGTTCCTAACGGACATACTGTAAGTGCATTTTGTCATTAAAAACTATGGGTGAGCTGTAGCTGGCAGGGATTGAAAGGAAAGTTCAGAGGCTTAGACACAGTTGTTGGACATCTCGGGACTGACAGGACTGAGGTAACAATGGAGAGCTATGGGATTAAGGCTGCATTCCTCATTCTGTTTTGGGTACCAGAGGCAGCATAAAGGTAATAAATGATATTAAATAAATAAATAGAGAAAGAATGAAAAATGGAAAGATTGATAATCCTATTTGCTTCCGGACAAGGCACAGTACAGCTCAGATAATGAGATGTGACACTTTAATTAGGCTAGCCAAGATAAACAGTGTAAAAATATCCCTGTTGCTGTTCTCCAGGACAGTGTTAACCCATTGCTGTGTGGATCAGCACTATGGACAGCTCCCTTGTCTGTACATGCCAGCTGTGCTGGTGAGTGTCAGAGCTGTGCAGGCCTAGCTGCGGGCCACTGGCAGGTCTGTGTTATGTGCCTCAGAAGAAGGTTAAATGGCATTTCCTAATTCCCATTGAAACCAATTAAAAACATCTTGGAACCTAGAGCACAGAGACCTGTCAGAATTACCAGGATATCTGAGTTCTTGGGCAGGTGGCATAGAAGTGCATGGCTGATGTCTGCAGACTGATTGATAAAACTCACTGGGTTTGGGGGAAAAAAGGAAAGAAATGCCCCACACCTCTCATGAATTTTTAAAATTTGGAATGACTAGAACTCCTTGAACTTCATAGCATGACCCAGGTGAGTGTGGTGTGGCTTTGAATAACATACATTTCTGGCTATGTTGTCTCAGAGCTGCTCTAGATTAGAACTGGTTTTGCTTTTGCATTTTTACCTCATGAAAAAGTATGTAACGTGCTTTCCTATAACTGTCCTGAATGGTTAATAGCGATTATGAAGTCAACTCTAAATCATATCATTTCTCTAGTTGTAATCTCTATAATGTATTTCCTTGTACTGTATTACTAAAGATCCTGTAGCACTTTCCCATCTGTCATTAATTTAGAAAACACTTAAAGTTCAATCCTCACTGGAGTATACTGTAAGAGTACCCACTTTATCTAATGGAAAGCGGAGTTGTTTAGAATTAGCCAGCTTTCACGCATAACATGGTAAACAGGAAAACAAGATGTTGTATGTATAGAAAGAGTTAGATCTGTACACCTCTGTGAAAATTGTTTTAAGATATCTTAATACAATTGGGAATTACAATTGTTTTCTCGTTATGAGCATCAATACATTTGTCAACGCCTCCACCACTTTTTCTACAATTATAGCAAATGTGTTATTATTAGAGCTTACTTTGGGTAAGAAGAAAGCTTGTGATTTAGCGATGTTTAATGCACCTTGATCTCATAACCTTCAAAAAACACAACGAATGCCCATCACACAATATAACTAAAGTTAAACCACACATAAGCAATCACTGTGATGTATTATAGTTGCCAAATCCATCACATTTACTGAACAAATCAAATTGACTCATTATTAGATGCTATTCATCATTAACATGATTTGTTCCTCTCTTAACTCTTTTGGGAAACCTCTCTTTTTCCTCAAGCTAAAAGGCTGAAAAACCATGCTGGTCTTTCAGTGTAAGTCTAAAATAAAAGGGGTTTAAGTTCCAATATTACTATAGAATATTCCTGTTTGGTTGGTATGACGTACATCGTCTCCTGGTCTCACAGTTTAGAGACTGCCGAGTCAGTGACACATGCTGTCTTGGTAGCATGCATGAAGGTGTGGCTTCACTGTCTGTGTCACAGTGAAAAGGGGCCATAGTCCAATAGGGATGAAGAGGTTTATAATAAGTCACTAGAGGGCGGCAGTATTCTGTAGTTTTAAGAAAGTTAAATGAAAAGTTATAAGAATTATTTGCACAAACTACAGTATGTACTTATAATTCAAAGTCAAATTAACTAAGATATAACAATTTAATATCAGGAATGTAATGCATAACCTCATATTTTAACATTCTGAACTGGTTGTTTAATATCATGAGTACTTGCTGTAGTATGGGTTATAATTCCAATATGAAGCAACACATTTTCTCAGATACTGTATAACACAAGGAGATTTCCAGATTGTGTATGTGCTGCTGTAGTACACAAAGGCAGGCAGTTGTCATGGTTAGACTCTAATTTGTTTTTATCAGAGGTGTGGACAACTGTATGTTTGCATTGTGTTTAAATCAGAAAATGGTATCAGTTGAATAATTGGATGATAACATCATAAACACATTTGTATATTTCAACCACACAACTCTGGCAGCAGATGCATGGGATATTTCTGTTCTCTCAGTGTTCGCTTGGGTTTCCTCTGGGTGTTTCCTCCCACAGTGCAACAACATACTGGCAGATTATTTGGCTTCTGGGAAAACTGGCCCAATGTGGTGTGATTGTGGTGTGCATGTTCCCACATGACAATATATGTTGTGGGCGGTGTGGTGGCTCTGTGGCTAAGGATCTGCACCTGTAGCTGGAAGGTTGCCGGTTCATATCTCGTGGCCGGCAGAGGACTCCTACTCCGTTGGGCCCCTGAGCAAGGCCCTTAACCCCAACTGTTCCAGGCTGACCCTGTTCTCTGATCCCAAGCTTCTCTCTCTGTCTGTGTGTCTCATGGAGAGCAAGTTGGGGTATGCGAAAAGATAAATTCCTAATACAAGAAATTGTATATGGCCAATAAATTGATCTGATCTTATTCACTGAAGCAACAAAGGACAAGCTATAATTTTCTGAAACAATAAAGTGATTTTATCTTATCATAGACAAAGTGGTTATGAAATGGAGAAATGGAACCACACAACCCCCTTTCAGACAATTGTTAATTCTGCAATGTCAAAATTCAAGGCTTTCAAATTATGTTAAATTGTGTTTACAGTATGTGTGTACTATACAGTATATGGATTTATAGACATATATACCTGGACACAGTCCTGCCACAGTGATCATACTAAGTGATGACTAGACAGTACGTCATTGATCCTGTGTTCCTGTTGCTCTTCTTGGAACTCTAAAATGTTATTTTTTATGGTATTCAAAACACAGTATTTTAAAAGAGGCCATACTAATGTCAGATAAAGCTTCGGTTTAACTTCCCTGGATTTAAATCCCATGCTATCTACTATACAGTATATTAAAGAATTCTGTTTGCTTTTTTATTGCTTGCCCATGTATTCTTAATAAGGTTACAGGTGATCATACAGTACATACAGTACTGTACTTCCAGCAGCTCTGAATGACCCATGAGATGTGTGTAGTGTATATTCCTACTGTGTGTGTATTGTAGCTTCTATACTCTTATCGATGTTGAATTTAATTTGCTAATCCATAGTTTTCTTTTTGTAGTTATGTTTGCCACTCTGTTTGACACATCTTTTAGTTTTGTATCATCTAGGATTCCTGCTTGCATTCTACTGTTGATTACGATGTTCAGGAAGAGCAGTGGCTCTCGAGTCTCAGCGATACCACTGCTTACATCTGCTGAATTAGAGGTTATGCCCCTTAAGATGATATACTGGTTTGCAAGTCCAAGGATATTGAACTCAAGATGCTGATCTAGCTGGCAGCTTTAACAGATTACGATTCCCTAGAAGTCAAGTAAGCCAATCATCCCAAAAATCCTCTTCAGTGTGGCTCATTAGAATATTCCACTCACATTTCTGAAAACGATAGTGTACAGGAGGTGGACAAAATACAGGAGGGGTTCAATGCAGAGAACCATTGGGGACAGCCAAATCTGCATATACGGTACAGTAACCCCTATACTATTGTTTAATGCACAGTATATAATATGTATGATGAAAAGACTGTAAGTAACCCTCCTTTATGTGATAATTAAAATACTAATGCACTGGCTTTAAGCTAATTAAAATAACATTGATCAAGTAAAAAAAAACAGCAGTAATCACAAACCTGTACTGTAGTAATCAAAATAAACATTAAGTAAAACATGAATCCCTGCTCTGTGTCCAGCAGATGCCTGCACCTTTTCTCTGCCTTCCCAGCTCCATGATTAGCATACCCCGCTGTAATGAAAACTGCTACTCCATACCCTACATTCCATAACTTCCCATTAAGGTTCAATAATGTCTAGCTCTGGTCTTTGGAAAGACCATGGAAAGGTTTTGACTTCATATAGGTGGTCATGGAACCACTCTTGAATCCAGTTAGCAGTGTGTATAGGGGTGTTATCATCTTGGAATATGGGAATATCTGGAGGAAATAATGCACCATAGAGTATATCTGGTTTCAATTGCTTTGTATTCATTAGCCATAATTCTACTGTGCAGAGTAATAATCAGACCCAATGCCTCCCATGAGATGGCTGCCTAACAGATTCACCACCATGTCTAGCAGATGGAAACAGACAGGCTGGGTTGAAGGCATCCTTTGACTTTCTCCAAACATAAACCCATCCAGATGTATTTAAAAGAGTATCAGACAAATCATCAGGTAATATGACTTTCTTTCACTGCTCAGAAGTCCATGTGCTTGCTTTGCTGTTTTTAGAGCCCACCCTGTTGGTGAGCTTCGACCACTCTGGTGGTGAGCTTCTGTATATGACAACTTTTCCTTTTTTCCTCATGCAGTTTTCCCTTGTTTGGCGTATGCTGTCATGATTTTCAGTGTGTTCCCCTTGACATATTAAACAATTCTGTCGTCTCTGTGACGCACCTGCAATTTGGGTGGCTCCTACTATGACCTCTTTCAAAAGATCTCTTATGTTGCTTTAGAACCTTACATGTTAAAATGTTGAATTTAAGACATCTTCCATAGTGGAAACATTGGTAATTAGTATTGAAATTAATCTGAGACGCATGTAAAATCATTTGTATTTGTATTTCAGTTACTTTAAAAAACAGGGGCGCCATATAAATGGCTGACCCTGTGCTCTGACCCCAAGCTTATCTCCCTGTCTGTGTGTCTCATGGAGAGCAAGTTGAGGTTTGCAAAAAGACAAATTCCTAATACATTAAATGGTATATGACAATAAAGTGATCTGATCTGATCTAAAAGTCTTTCTTCATTGGATGTTTCCATTATTACCCCCATACACTGCAGTGAACATCATCTTTTTAAACTGCCCTGCTGAGAATGTCATACTGTATATCTACACTGTCCTTCTCTGAAATACGCAGCTGTTGTGCCACTTTTCACTGAAAATATTTGTCTGACAGATTTCACTAAAATGCAAACAATTTAATGTGAAAACAAATTTAAATTTGGTGCTGTCCAAACCAGACAGCCTGGGGGGACATTTCTTCTAAGAAAGGGTCCAAGTGTGATTACAGATAACATAGTGTTCCAGAGCTGCAGAAGGGAAAGCCACCCATCTACAGTATTTAATAAACTATATTGATTAATAAAGTTCTTAACAAACGTCCCGGAGGTATGCCAGCAACCAATATCTCCCCCACCTCCGAGATTTGAACTCATAATTCTCTATTATATCACTACCTGAAAAACTCTAAATACCACACTGAGTCCCTCCCTCTCTCTCTCTTGCTCTGACTTATCCATAAACATTCCTATACAGCATGCATTTTCAGATTGGGTGATCTTGTTCCTTGTGAATTGGTTGTGATATTTCAATTCTACTGCCGGATCTACTACGATTCTCATTTCAGTTCTACTACTGAATCTTCCCCATTAGTTATATACAGCATATTAATGGACTTTTCATGTTGATCTTCAGACCTGTTGTGAATTATTAATAAGAATATTTGGCTTGATGTCAGGAGGCTGTATCTAAACGTCTTGTTGAAACTGTCTCCAAAGGACAATATTATGAGCGTAATAAGAAAAAATATTTTTCGTTTGGGAAAAGCTATCAAATAGAGCACATTCAGAAATCTTTGTCTTTCAATGTGCAAGCTTAGCTATAGAGAGACTGAGTATGTAAATGGATGTGACTTGGGGAAAGTCACTTAATTAGGGATCTGTAGGCAGGGAAAAATCAATGGTCTGTTTAATTGGGTAGGTGGGTTCCTTCCCATGTTGGAGACAAGTGTGGTGGTTCCCACTTGTTAGGGTTTTAATAGAGCTAACAGGATTTTTTAGATTCAGTTTTCTAATTAGCGAGACAGAGCTTCTATTAGCAAACCCTGCTAATGGAGCTGCCAGGAGCTGGGGCCGCCCTCCGACCCAACTGACGAGAAGTAATTACGGCCAAACCCTTGCTGCCTGTCTCCCAGCTCAGCAATTTGCCCACGCTTAATGAGCAGGGGTGGCTGTGTTGACCAGGGAGAAATCACAATGACAGTTCTCCCCGGCACATACACTCGAATATTATCAAATACTCCACTGCATTGTTGCACTTAATAGCAGCAAAGGTACTGTGTATTCACAGGGTTTTTATTCCCTAAATTCTCCCTCAGGATAGAAGCAGGCCACACAGTTGCTGCAATATTTATATGTTTAATTCCTCCAAAGCACCTTTTATTTCTGGAGGTGGGGTGTTGGAGTCAGGGAGGTGGTTAAAGAAGGAGATCATCTGCTTTCAATTACATGTCCTCCAGGAGCTTGAAAGTGAGCAGCATTCCGAATCATCACTGCCACAATGACAATATAAATCTGGTGATCTTGGGCTTCATTTAATCTTGTTGATGAAAGTTGATGTTGGGCTAAGTGGTGCAGGTGCTTCTAGGGCCCTTCACCTTTACAAACCTGGGTTCAGATCTGATTAAAATTACAAGACAAATTTGTCTTCTTGTTTAACCTCGGTACAGAATAGGTACGGGATTTGCATCAATTGTATGTCACCAAAGAGCAGAGGGGCTCAAGGCAATATGCCATCCTTATTAATCAAGATTCAAATATATTGTCTGTTGTCTGAACCACAGCTTTTTTTATATTTAATCCTATTAAGAGCATCATTTTTGTTAAATTTTCTGGGTGCTTATTTTTGCCACAGATTGTAATTTTCTGGGCAAGTTCTTGTGAAAGGGCCCCATGAGGGGCTGTCTTCAAAATTTTCAGTGTGCATCTCCTGGATTCTCTTTCTTCCTTGGTGCCCAGGAGGAAAGGAGCCAGTGGGAGCTGCAGTGGAAGATGGGTCACTACCTCCCTGGCCGTGAAGCTCCTGCTGCCGAGAGACCCCGATCAGGTGGGTAACAGCTGCCTGCTGCCCTGCTGTCTGTGCTCTGCTCACCGATGAGATACAGCCTAAGAGGAAAGAGGAGAGGTGCCACTTTTCTGGCTGTTTATTTTCTTTTTCTGTTTGTGTAAAAATGGCCAAACCATGAAGGATCCGCAACAAACTACTGCAGACTGCAAAAAAAAAAACTGGCACTCTGACATGATGGTTCAGAATCGAAATGATTTTAATTTCTGATGGGCTAACTAAGCTTTGCTGTACAGAGTTCCAGATCTCTTACTGGGGTGGTTCTCAGTTTCAGTACAGAACACTGAAACAAGAGAAGTATCCCTGTTCAAAAGCTGAGGAACAAGAGTCCAAATGTCCAAAACCTCTTTGAGGCACAGAAAGGAAAGAACTACGCGTTGCAATATTCACAAACAATATTAAATCCACAAATCACAGAACTACACATCATGAAACAGGCAATACAATTGTACCCAATCGGTTTTGCCTGAGGAAGATCTTGTTGTGTTGTGCTATTTTGTGACGTACAATTCTGTGAATAGGAAATCTGAGCCATAAAATACATTTTGAACTTAATAATTAAAAATCATTTTGGATTGTGAATCATGTGGGATTCTCTTTTTTTTTTCCTTGGGATGTCTAAAAAAAATCCCTGGAATTAATTAAATGATGTCATGCTTGATTTTATCTGACTTAGAAGTAATTTATCACTCTTTGGCTCACTCCTATCAAGCAGCTAGTCGGCATTATAATTCATCTTTTACAAAGGGGCTCAAGGGTAATTTGTAGAGAGGAAGGGTAATTCCTCAACGTGTTAATGTCTGTAATTGGAACTATTCTCCCAGTGAGTGACAATTGTTACACAATTACAGCACCGTGCAGCTGCCTCAGAAGACAACAGCCACTTTATCAGTGGGTGAAATAACGGGGGCTTGTTTTGTAATTATTAGTAGCAGATTCATTATAAAACTTATTTTTCTCTTTTGCAAAAAACACAATCACTCTCTCATAACTGTTTTCTTGGAATAATAGTCTGACTTGGTTTGAAATACTCATGATGAGTAATGAGTATTGCCGGGTGAACACCAACAACTTCTATACCTTAGCCATTAGTTCTTGTATTAAAACCAGGTGCAGTAATGTTATGTAATCTCATACACAAGTCTATAAAAAATAATAAGGCTAACTGAAGGATAACATCAAAACATTTAACAACATTACTAATTGCTGTAATGCACTGACTGACAAAAATATTTTGTCTTTGTATTTTGCTGTATATAAAAAGCAGGAAACAGGTCCAGTATTTATTACAATTACGAAACAGAAAGATAAATAGGTCTTACTTTGCTTAAAAAAGAAAATGCCATAATTGATATTCCCAATGGAAATCCCATCGAAGAGATTTTGACACTTGACTAAATTGTTTTTAGTACATACTGTACACTAACAAAACGACACAGTTATGCAGCAATGTATAATCTGTAATTGTAAATTTAGTCACTAGTCAAAATAGCAACAGATTTATGTATATACTGTACAGCACTGTATACAGATGTGTTTCAAGACAAAATAAATGTAACCACAATTTTTAAAATGCATAATTATTGGAATAAGGGAAGAATTTGGATTGCAGGGGCTGTGAGTGCAGTCCAACCAGTGAAGGAGAGACGTGCACCTGTTCAAGATGTGTTTGACAGGCTGTACTCTGGAGTGAAAAGGTAATATGCATACCCATACAGATGGCCATCTTGATGTGCTTTTTAATATTGCAGTATTAAGTGTCATGTGAGTGTTCATTTAAAGATCTTTAGAACTTTCAACATGCAGCAGCACAGCATTTCTCAATGTGAGTGTGGCATTTCACAGGGATGTACTTACAGACTTTATTGAGTATGCCATGGAAATTTGGAACAGTCCCAAAAGCAAAACAAATGCAAGATTTAAATATTATTTATAAACAGAGTATTACAGTATGTCGCATGTTTGTTGTTTGCAATTTGCTGTCAATCGTACTTTTGGTTTATGAACCAACTTTCTTGTGAATCTTCACGTACTCTAGGTATATGAACACTTTTGAAAGTGTTAAAATAAATACAATGCAGAATTATTTACAGCAGAGGCTTTAAATATTAAAGCAGAGGCTTTAAAAGCTTCTTTGGACTTGTTTCTACTACTACCTGTATAATTATTTGGACATATCTGGCAGACAATCTTTAAAAAAAATAATTTGGAAGACGACGTTCTTTTTTAAATTGCCTGAATAGTTACTAAATACAAATAAGTAGCCTATTCTACATCTACTGTTTGTAAGAAAGAACATTTAATTGTATACAAGAAATTAAAAAGTACAGCACTGCTGGATTAATCGTAGCTGACACTGTAAGTGTAGTATACCTGCAATTACTTATCTTTGCTGTCTTTTATGTTCCTGTCATTTGTAAATCACATCGTCTCTTCACATAAGAGAAGTTACTCAATTGGCATTCAGCTGTGATTTCACTATTGTTGTGCTGGTGTTTGGTTTTGCTCTAAGGGGAACATCTGCATGCCGGCAAGCAAGGTGCACTGCCCTCACCCTGGGAAAAAGGACTGTACCGCCTTCTACCACAGCTGTCACTCCAATTAGACTTACCCGCCAGCTGAAAAACAAAAAGAAGTTCTGAAAACTGCTTCCTGAAAGTGCTGTGTGTAAAACAGCCATATGGGCATGTTAAACGCCCCCAATAGTCATGTTTGAGCAAGCAACAAGAAACAACTGGAGAATTTATTTGATGACAGACATGTCTTCTAGTATGGTGTGGACTGAAAATGAGATATTTATCTCAAAATATTTTAAAGTTGATTTTTTTTTTCCCTCAGGTTTGCCTCTATTCATTCAAATTCTTATGTTTTACAAACAAATCAACCTTTTGAAGTATGGGTTGAAAAGTTTGGAAACCTAGAGAAGGTCAGTTCCCCTTGGTCTACAGAGACCCCCGTTCTCTGTCCTGGATATTGTGAAGTCTAAACTTGGAATAGGTAATCTGTGCCACCATCATCCATTATACAGTAGCATGCTCCCACCCCCACAGTGTAAATAACATACTGTATAAAAAGAAATAAAATCTGAAATCCTCCCGTTCAGGTAGCAGTGGGCTTCCCTGAAATTAGAAAGTCCATGATGATCAGTCAACCATACTACAGGCTCATAAACCAGCCATGTGAGGCAGATCTTCTCCCGTGCCTAAAATAAAGCCCTGAATCATGGATACCACCAGACTGCAGTTCTCCTGTGGTTTAGTATGGGTAACATTTGTGTAACCGCTGGAATTTACATTTCAACAAATCGGATTGACAGAATGGTGCTTTACTGTAAATCAGTAAATGATTAATGAAATGAAAGATTTTGAAGACTGCGTGTGAGCTAAAATGTGATAGATTTTGACAGGTTTCTGTAATCCATTCGGAAAACTGCTGTCATTTGCGTGGTATGGCATTGATATAATGGCAGCAAAGCTAAAGAAGATATTCTGCAACTAACTGAAACAGTTCACAATAGATTTGTGAAATAATACATGCGCTTTAATCTTGATTTGAAAAGGGGTTATAAAACATCAAATAAAAAGAGCGTAAAAAGCATATGTTGTGTAGGTTAAGCCCATGGGCACACTTTGGGTGTCAGCGATGATATGTGTTCAGAACTGGGGGCGCCTCTCTTTTGTCTGTAGATGCTCTTTCCTGGATGAATTTCAGGAGGTCTCAAGAGAACTGGGGTTAGAAATGAGAACATCTTGGCAGCTCCACAGTACAGTGTTCATATATATATAACATATAAGGGACCTAGACTTATTTTTCTCGCAATTGTTTTCATTTCTTGCCAAACAAGTCAGATAAACTTAACTTAAGTCGCAGTGGCTGAGATAAATCATTGTAATACAGCAGAGCATCGATTATCCAGTGGCCTGAGGGGAAGGGGTTGCCGGATTTTCAAAAATGCCACATAATCCCATCAAAGTTTCTATAGTAACTTGTTTTTGAACATTCTTTCCTTTTGGATATTGTGTACTGTATATGCATTTAATATTTCGAATTTAAAAACGCAAATAGACTACATACAAAACACATTAATTTGCTTAATGCAAAGTACAATGCATTACCATTTAGTACAACACCTTATAGATGAAAACTAAAATGTGGTTTGTAAATACTTTATACTGTATTTTCACCAGTTTGGCCTGTAATCAGCAGAAAATGTTGGAAGCAGGATTATAAAATAAATAATAAGAGTATTCTGTATGTAATTAATCAGAATTCACTCAATTTACAATGTAAAATGAATTCTGCATGGTACAGTATGTTGTAATTTCAGGATATTCAAAACAATCTTGCTATGCCCTAACCCTTCACTCAAATCACTGATGCATGTAGAGCTTTTCAGACCTACTGTACAATAATACTAATACTTGCTGATCAATGAAACTTTTTTTATACATGTGGGTCATCTCAGGTGAAATTAAAATCTTTCTTATGGGTTCTTTTCCATGCAATTTGCTCCTGCTGTGAGATCTGGTTCGTAACTGACAAGTGAAAGCATGAGGCATTTTTTCCCAACTTTCTTTTTTAATTCCCAAATGAGGGAAAAATCAACAACTGTACAATTAGCTAAACAGAAAATCTAAAATTATGTTCATCTGATAGCCTTTTGATGATTGCTCATTGTTATTCAAAATGCTCAGCAAAGTTAAGTTGACCTTACAGGTGATAGTTTCTCTCTGGATAGGTAATTAATTTAATTGCTTTATGTTATTTATAGAAATACCATGCTGCATGAAGAATTGAAATTTGTTGATGGCATGATAAACTACCTAAACGAATGTTTCTGAAATAAAATCCTGTTGCAGTTACAGTTTGTGGCAGTTTTGTTACTAAACAAACTTATGAAGGTAACTAAATGGGGATTAACACATTATTTGTCTTTTAAAGTTGTACTTATGCATCACACAAGCATATAATTTCAAATGCCTTCAGTTTATTTATGAATGTAATGACATATTGTATCAGGGTAATCTTTGCTGTGGATTATCTCTGATATGCTGAAGATAGTTTTCATACATCTTTACCATGCTACCATGTTTAATAGCAGCAATGCAGGCTACCCAATGCACTCTTTTGAATATTTCAGTATACACTGAGGGTTATTTGTTATGTTTGTGGACAAGAAAAACCTTCAGCTGCTGAATATTATGTGGCACAATATGATAGAACAAACGTTTCACCCATATTGTTGAAGCTGCTCCCCTGAAATCCTTTCAGAAAATGACAGGGTGCCAATAATGTGCAGACTTCCCAATGTGGTATCATGGCCTTATTGTCCTTATCATTTTAATTTATGTAGTGTAGTTCGTGTTAAAAAAGCATAACAACATACTTCGACCAAGAATGGAACCCTGGGGGACTATGTTATCAGTGGAAGAGACAGATTTACTTTTATGCTTTTTGTGGAATTTGGGTTTTTGATGTGTCTTAGTACATTTCTTTCATTGCCATTTTAGGGCACAAGACTAGTTGGAGATGCAGATACTGAAAGGAAATCCTGGGCCCATAATGTTTTAACATTTTAGAATGTATGGTGTGCAGTCTCCGGGGTGGGCTTGTCGTTTCTAAAGACTTTAAGAGGTGTGTAATGATAGGAGAAATTTTCTTTGTACTATCTTTTTGATATTCTTACATTATTGAAATTATTGAAAGCCTTTGTTCCCCACAATAATGTCTTGAAAAATAGATTTTGCCCATCACTTTAATTGAGCTAGCTCTATGTGCAGAAATAGCATATTTTGAGCAACTGTAGAATTTTATTTTTTTGAGCATTTACCTTCAAAGGGTGACTTCAGCAGCAGTTAATATTATTAAGTTTGATTTAATGCTGTTAAAAGGAAGCAAAACAAGTCAGATCTTGCTTGAATTTAAAGTTTTCATCACTTCTGAACTAGGTATACTATATTTTCAGCATATGAACATATTGCACAGAAAAGTCGACTGGGATTAAAATTTCACTTATATCTTTCACATCCCCATATCACTGAACTTAAACTACAGTATGTGCCCCATTTTCTCCAGAGTACTGTAGGTCCAGTGACTGGCTAGATATATTTGACATATTTCGAAGAATGGGGTTTAACAAAGCTTAATTTTACAACAGAGGTATTGCAAAGAGATTTTATCATCAAATTAAAAAAGTAAAAAAATGGGTTTATAAAAATGCACAATAGCATTTAAAGCTATTTACTTGTCATGCCCTTGCATTTCATAAAAGTCGCTTACATAGTCCTGTTCCCAGTGATTTTCTGCAGAATTTGATTGCATCTGATATCCGTCTTTGCTTGTGCTGAACCGTGAAGTGAATAAAATAACTCCTTAAGATTTATGAATTATTTATGGTAAATATCCATTCTGAATGTCAAACAAAAAAAAAACACATAACCTAATAATTTTTAGTTTTTTTTTTCTTCAGTTAGAAACAATGATATTAAGGGTGATGTCTGCAGTTTGAGAAAAGGCACTTTGTAGGAGCAAAAGTATGGATCTCCATATTGTGTAAACCAGATCATCCAGTTTGCAAAAGACATATCTTTAAGGATATCAAGAATTTGCATAAAATATTCCTATATGTCATCTGCTAGAAAAGTGTATTGTGCTCCTATTTAATTTTCTTGCATATTTGTACATACATCTTTACTGCTCAGCTCGTATATAATGAGTGCTTATCCAGTTCCAAAATGGCTAGCCATTTGCCTTCAAACTTGTCAAACTGATTTGGTGCTGCAACATTTCTCTTTTTATTTGTTACATTTGTGGTCTACAAGATACTTAGTGTAGCACTGGAGGGGGGATTCAGTCCTATCTGGCTCTGTAGGTCTGTTTAAGTCAGCGCCCTCTTTAAATTAAAATATTTAACACACTCTCTTTGAATATGGGAAGCATGCATTCATTTGTTTAGTTTTGTAAATAATTGGTTCATTTATGTAGCCAGAGGTGATGTGCACCAAAGATCTATAGCACTTGACGGTTCAGGCTTCACACTCTTAGACTCAAGGCTCAAATAGCACCGAGAGGTACAGTGCTCTGAAATACAGTGTACAGCACACGTGCCAAGTGAAAGAGTGCTTTCCAATGTACCACAGACCTTAAGATGATTGTATTTATTTTGTATTAAACTACAAAGTGTGGTACAGAATTCAGATTGGCAGATTCCTACATAGATTTCTTTGTAGGAAACATCTCAGGAGGTAATTAAGACTATATGATTCCATCATCCTCCAATTTAGCAACTGATTATTTAATAGTCTTTAGTTTTGGTGTTCAGGTGGAGAGTCATTTGCTGTGCTGCTCAAGGTAAGATACTTCTAAATGTGACAAGCTGCAATTATATACCCATTGTCACCCAAAAATGAGCTGCCATCATGGCATTGTATACTGAATGAAACGAGCAGACTAATTGCATGGTTCTGGAGAATTTAACAATGACCCCGCTTTCAGGAGTAATACTTAATTAAAAGGAAACATTGTCATCTTGAAGCATGATTGCTTTTTGTGTTACCATTTGTTTTCAGGCATACGTTGAGAATGATTCTAAAATAGAAAGGTTTCCAGTTTTGAAAAAGTTGGAAATACTGTAACTTCAGTGGGTCTTCCTTACTAATAGCGACAGATGTGTGTGGCTTGATTCCAGATGAAGACAAACTCTACAGTTGGTAAGCTAGTCTCTTTTGCTAATAAGCCCTTATGCCTCACTTGGGTTGTATAATTTTATGAATACAATAAAATAACTTAACATGCATTTGCTAGCTGCCTTTGAATATCCTTTATTCTGGAAAGTCTGGTACGTGTGTTTAGTGTCTTGTTTAATTATTATTTATAGAAATTTGTATTAAGCAGAATTTACAAAAGAAAAGTGCCATGAAGTTTGCTAAAGAAACGTGCCCAGTAATGCTTCAGTGAAGTTCTAACTACAAAATATGCATGCAGAGTGGAATTTGTGTACCAGCACATTTATCTACTGTAGGTGTTTTATTGAAGGACTGCTGAAGATAACATATACAGTAAGCACATGCTTTAGATTATATCAATTTACCACAAGGTCAATGTACAGTATGTAGCTAAATTACATTATTTTAGTGCACAATTGCAGACTATGAAGCAGGACATCCTACTGCTTCCAGTGTCATAAAGACCAGCTGGAATGTTTTATTAGTTTGGGCCAAATCCTGAACTGGTCATATTTCTTCAATGACTGGAGAATAAGTGAGTCAGACCTTGCAGAACCTCATTTACAAGTTCATACAATATGTGATAAGGCGCACTTGACCCAAAGGCTTATCACTGTGTAAGGTTCAACTTACAGTATCTTATAACACCTTGTGAATGAGGTCTGCACTCTCTCTTTTGCAACAGCATTCGTATTGTTTCCTTAATTTGTGAAAGCTGGATGAATTCATGTATCCCATGACACCTGGAGGTTATACCCATGAATTTTCAATTTGGGTCTATTTACCTGTAAACAGAACAAAACTTTATTTTAAAGCAAAGACCCTTGCTCAAGATCCTGAATACTAAAATCCTTTATGCATGTCAATGATTAATATATAGTATATTAAAATGAGTATCACATGAAATTATAACATTGTTATGTGGCATAACCTTTTTGTTACATTTTGAAGAATTCCATTTCACAGGCTTTTTCTTTTCTGTGATAATGCTCTTCTCCAGGAGTTATTATATTGGAGATAGCAATGGGTTGCCTTTTAACACAAAAAATGTTTTAAAAAGCAAGAAATTGCTGAAAAATGTAAGACTTGCTTGTCATAAATTCATGTATTTTTTTCCTGACTGTCAAAAAATTGAATATCCTTTTCTTAATGAAAACTCTTTGGGGATGGTGTTTGGAGCTTAAAGGGGCTTTGTGGAGTCGACTGAATCATAAACACATTGCATGTTGTCGCATAATAGGGGTTTAAAGTGCAGAGCAAGTGCCAAAGGAGAAATGAGAAAAGGATGAGAAACTGATAAACAAGGGAAAGAGCTGGCTAAAAGAAAATCGAACTTACAGTACTTTTCAGCTTTTTGCTTCAATAACGTCCTGTTTTGTCACTGTGTATACTGGTATGTACTCTGCCATGTTTTATACAACACGCTTACAAATTACACTATTGTTTCTTCTTATCACACTATCCCCTGCACAGAATGCATACAGCTCATGTATTTGTAGAAACATTTATGGATTTTGCTTGGTTTTTACTCATATTGTGGTCAGTTTATTGGAGCTGTGGTCTTTCTCAGCACATGCACAAGAATACTGGATGCTTAATAATAACTAGTACAATTGGGCATTCATTGAGCGTTCAAGTTATGGTTCTATCCATACTGTACATCATTCAACACATTTGGACATCTTTGGAAGGGAATGAATATTTTTGCAAGGCACAGCATGAAATTAAGTGAAATACATAAATGGATTCTTCCATTTTGGGGGGAGGTATGTCTGATCAATAATTCAAAACTACAAGAAAGAAAAAAAATATTCACTGTATCCTATTCATTTGCAATTCTGACACTGCACCTGCTTTAAACTGCCATGTCACTTTGAAAATGAAAATTAAGAGCACTGAGCTCTCAACACAACCAGTAAAACCATTCTGTTGGACTACAGGCTGAACCCTGCAAACCAGGGTATCTGCTTCAGCAAGATGGATATCAGCTTGTTCCACACTCCAAAAAACCTTTGAGTAAAGAAGTGGCTCCTGTTCTCGGTTGTAAATGCCCTTCTAATTGGGTACAAGGGTGGTGATAGTGAGCTGGCTCCAACATTATGTTATAGAAAACAAAATTCAGATTAAAAATAAACAATTATAACACTTCATAATGGATCTTAAGAATACAGTATTATAGATATGCTTCTTACAAAAATGTTTTAGTATAAATGAAAAATAATTGGGTTTGTTGATTTCACATTACTATGCTGGTAACACTGGATTATAAACGAATAAATGTATTTTTGTGAAAAGTCAGAATTGGGTTAATAAGAAGAAATTAATCATGATTAAATCCCATTTATAAGCAATCATCACTCTGTCAATATATTTCGAGCTATTAAATACTTGTTACAACAATTTTCTCATCTCTACTGCTGTGCTGCCAGCAAAGCTGCACGATAATTATAGTTTTTGGGTAATGAAGGCACATAGGCCTCTTTGTACATTTCTCATCATAGATAATTATCCTTTACCAATGATTTAATATTCTGTAATCCTATTGACTGATTTCTATTTGAAATGTTATCATTTTTTTACTAGTTTTCTGTTTGTTTGTTTTTTCTGCCACATAAAGCGAAAACCAATTTGCACAAGAGATATACCACTGGAATAACTCAGTCTAATAGAAAAGGATTTATTTTGAACGGACCCAGTTAAATTTCAACTCTGTGCTTGGCTCCACTTAGTACTCTAGGTACGAATTAACTGTAAAATTCCCCTTACCTTTCTCCGGAAAAGAAATTGACTGTAGCTACAGGGATTTCCTTTTAAATTGGTCCCTGTTGGTTGGAGGCTGGAAATGTCTGTGTGAGCCAGTGAGAAGCTGGTGTGTCTTTGGGTAGTGTACCTTGAAGACAGAGGAGGATGAGGTATTCTGCCATCTCCTGTACAGCATTCAGCAGTTCCGTCTTCAATCCAGGCTGAAAATCAGCAGGGCCTCCCGTGACTTGATCATGTCACTTGCTGACTGTGACCAGGAGGTTAGGGTGGGGAAGATGGCGGCCAACCCGATCCTCCAGTCGGAGGTGATACACCCACAGGTGGGAGGGTCAGAGCAGTGAACCTACTCGCCCTCATTCCCCACTGTGTGAGGCTGTGGGCTTCGTAGCTGTGAGGAGACCTGGCAGATACGCAGCCCAGTCCAGAGCTGGACCCAGAACCCCACAGCTGAGGCAGCAGTGGTCACCACCATGCTGTTGTGCAACCTGTAGGTTATTATGTGCATAGCATTTAGGAACAATGTAGTATTGTGTGTAAAATGTTCTATTTACTGATTAAAAAAACTCAGTTTACTCCAAAATGGCTAAATATCTTGTGTTTGAGACTGAAGTCATTCTGCTTGGCTTTCACACACTCTCCTTACAAATGTATTGAGTTGCTTGTTCCACTTTAGATCTAACATATTACAAAAGGCATCTCTTTCAGTGAATGCCAGCGGTATTTTCTAACCCTCAGTCCAGGCTGTTCTGTTTGCAGATCTAACATGTTGACTTTGTTTATTCGCTGCTGCAGGAGGTGCTATGAAAGCAAGAGTCCCCGTTAGCTCAGGTCTCCCAGAACGGCACTGAGCAGTGCGATGACTCATTTGCTTGTGATATACCCACGCCTCTAATATCCCAGCTCTCCATAGCTACTGTACAACGGATAGAAGACAGCTAGGAATATGATTTTATCCTAATCTCCACTTTTCTCTTGTCTCCATTATCTAATGTCCACTTGCATGTCACACACTAGGCAGAATTTAAAATTGTACAGATTTTAAATTTGTTTATGGTTGATTGTCTCCTGCTTTCGAATTTGAGGAATAAACATATATACGATGTAGATTTAGCAAACAATTTCCTTGGTCTTCAATAGAAAGGAGTTGGTCCCATGAACATACTGCAAATAGCCTGCTCCAGGAATGTACAGAACAGCACTGTTAAGCAGATTTTTATGTTACATACTGTAGGGTTATATTTGTGAAGCATCGAAGTTTATAATGAAGTGTCTCAGCATTGATGTTTATCAAATTTCTTGTATGATTATTATTTCAAGCACCGTTAAAAGAAGACCACTCAAGATGTTCTGCAAAGATCTGCTGTATGTAGTAACTCTTACCCTGGATGCTCCTGCAAACCTCTGCAGCAAGGTACTCATCTGGTGTTTATGGCACAAACTGACATCATAATGTCACTGTTTTCAAACCATTTCAAATTACATCAAACTCATGTTTAAATATTTTATTGAACTTTATTTATATTAAATTAAAAATATATTTTTGACGATTCATGTAACAAAAATGCAGAACAGTTTTTAGATGCTGTAGCTGTAGGGGTGATAAAATGTTCACTAAAATTAAGGGGTTGTTACCAGTGGTGCCAACATTAAGGAGGATGAATGTTTTTTTTAATTCTGGGACTTTACTGTCTCTGGTACCAAATGTGAAGCAAAGAAATGAGCAACTTAAGTTTTTAATTTCAGCTGCATTACTCTGTTATTAAAACAAGACAAAAGCAACTTTAAGGAACTAATTTAATCAATTTCCCCTGGCTTCATGTTTTGAGACTAGCAGAGAGGATGCAAGGAGAGATTGTACTTTGTAATGGACCTACAGTATTTCATTTTTCCATGGGCTGAGCTTTTGTCCAAAACGAAACCTGAACACAACCTCCTCATTGCGTTTACTGTTACAGGACCTGAGTACAAGACAGTTCCAAAGCTTAAAGTCTAGCTCTTTGCAGCTCTCTGACAGTCTTTTTTAAATCGTGCAAACCCTCAAGATAAACTAGCTCCAAAATTTTCTGATATTGCTCTTGGATACCAGAAATCATCCCGCCCCCAGCCACACTATTTTTCAGAAAGAGCATGCAGACTCTCCACCACAGAGGAATGATATCACACTGTGTGGTGAAGCTTCGCCGAGGTCTCGTTTATTAGAATTGTTCTGAGGCTCGCTGATTTTACATTGTACTGGTCTGACTGACTTACCTATCTCTGATTAACTTTTAGAAAGGATGTAGATAAGGCCTGACTAGAATTCAGGGTAATTCTTTATTCTGTTACAAATTATATGGGAAAATGCACTGAATCCAAATGAGAAAAACTTCAGGAAATTGCTCTTTTCTATTGTTATTTCTCTTTTCAGGAAAAAGGCATTCTGGATTAAAAAGAATAGGTGGTTTTCTTTGTTATAACCTACAAAAGCAGTCAGCTGAAAATGTTGCATGTTTTATGAGTATACAGCTGTTACTCTTATCTTAAGCGACAAGTGTTTGCAATAACCGGGGATGATAACACACTGTAGGAAGAACAGAGCAAAATCCTGCAGGCCCTATATCAATGAACTTCACGCTTTTTTCAAACAACTAGACTGAAAAGCATTTGAGAGGCATTATACATCGTTAACCCGCATTTCAGCTAATTAAAACACGCCACATTTAAAAAGATTAGTGGCTAAATTGTCACAAGCTATTTTCCATGAGACTGCCTGAGCTTGTCTGAACATCTCCAAGCACTGACCCCCACCCCCTCCCCCTGTGAAAAACGAGGGATGTAGAAAGTGTTTGTGTGTGGGGGGCTGGCCAGTAAGGTCATATCAGTTGCCAGCTGACAACAGAACACATGAATGGGGTTTTGGCGTGTTCATAAATTAATAAAAATCCTTAACTGACGCTGGCCCCTGAGACTACCTCGTTCTGGTTTATTCCGGACAGTTTTTGGAACAGCTGTTGGCAACACTGGTAGGTGCTCTCTGCCACTGTCGGTCCTACAGCTAGCTCTCTACCCAGTTCAAACATGGGAGGAGGTCACAGTAACAAAACCCAACTGCACCAATTATAAAAATGGAGAGAGATATCAAACACTGGGGATTAAAGGAGGAACCAAATACTGAAACACAACCTAAGAAATAAGGCTCTAGAGAGAGACTGCGCCAGAGCTTAGAAATTCAGAACAGGAACCGGTATTGCAACAGTGCGTCAGAGTATTTTCTACAGCTGATTTTACAGAAAAAGAAAATGAGAAGGGAAACAAGGCTTAAAATTACATCAAACAGTAAAAGCAGCTCCTACCACATGAGCAAGTGCAGAAGTTAAAAACACGATTACAATTTGTGCTAAACACAGTCACAAGTAAAATGTCTAAATTCATGAGCTTTTCAAATAAAAAATCACAATCCAAAATACAGATATATACAGAAAAAAAGTATCACTAATAGACAATTATGTTCAACATAAACCAATTCCAAGGTGAGAAGAAAATAATCCCAAAATGTAACAATTCCCCCTTATTTACAAATGCACTCTGGCCAATTCTTCAGCAGTCTATAAAAATACTATTCACATTTTTCAGTTCGCGTACAGTAGTACAGTAAATCTTGAGGAACAACTGTACCAAACTTCAGTTTATTAATAAAAAACAATGTGCTTCCTCCACATCTGTCAGTGTGTGCTAAAATTAATAACAAAAAAGACTGTAGAAATAGGAATACCAAAGATTATGCCAGGGAATTTTTTAAAATAATGGCCCTGTTTGCACATGGTGAAGCATAATAAAAACATTTAATGCAATAAAAGATCCAGAAATCTTTGCAACGCAAAGCGGTTTACTGGCGATCATGAACATATAAGGTTCTGCTGATGCAATAAAAATTACGCACAAGTTACTTAACTTATAGAAATGAAGAGAAATGCAGAAGCAAATTGCATACTCACACTGTTACATTAGTTATAAGACATCCTGCACATAGATCTTTATTAAAGGAAGATTGCTGAAATTTAGCTTTTTCTAATGGCCCATTTTGTAATGTTTCTGCAGAAATGAATATCTCTGTGGGCTGCTAAATTAAAAACAAAACCTCAGTTACTGAAAGAAATAAGGTGTTTGCCTGGAAGTTAAACAAAAGTAGCCATTTAAAAACAAGGTATTAATGACCTTAATCAATCTGCCTACAGTAATTCCAATTCCACCAGACTCATCTGTCTGGCACTCAAGGTCATATTCAGAAACCGTATTCTCCCTGTTGTCACTACATACCATTTATAGGTATTGGCTATCATTATACAGTACCTTAGTGAACTGAGATGATTGTGTTCGGAAAATGTTTAGCAGGCAGCTTGATGTTGGTTAAACTGAAAAATGAAAAGAATCCAAATGACCAAGACAGGTTCATAAGTGAGAATGGACTTGCACTTTCTATCAAATGGTCCATTTGTCTTCTCTTCTAGACTAACGAAAATGGCAAGGGAAATCTTCTCTCAACCTCTCAGGAACTCTGTGCTGTGCTAATGTGTTTTAAAAGAGCTACAAGAGGAACTGGGCTTTGTGCAGTGAACCCAATTATATTGAACCAGCGCCAGTGAAAGAGTTACCTGTGATGAGGCTGTTGCCCTTTTCAAACTCCCAGTCCCAAAAGTTAATGGGAGCTTCATGTAGTTAGTGGGTATTTGACAGACAAGGGAAGCAGTTGCCTGCTATGAGTCAGCATTGTTACTGATTTTATCTGAAAGTAAATTTTGATTATGAAAAAAAAAAAGATTTTGAAGTGTGTGACTGTTGGTGTTGAAGACAAAAGGACAAAGAAGAGACTTGACCTGAGAACTCAAAATGAAGTGCTCCAGTTTGTTGCTTTAACAGTCATGAATTTCAACCATCTGCTGAATTCCAGCAAAATGCTACATGATATTCCAGTTACATCAGTAACACTTTAGACTAGGGGTTGTAAATTCTATTTACAAATTCTTTATATCCTGTTACAAATAAAAGGGAGTTTGGTCTTTTCTTGTAGGCAACTGACAGAAGCAAGGGAAATATTCTCTACTGTCTCTCAGTATATCTGTGCTCTGCCAAAGTATTTAAAAGGACCAGCAAAACAGTAGTACTACTACAATTTCTACCTAGTAGTAAGTAACCACTACTAGCGATTAATTAATTAACAATAGACACAACTATTCTTATATATGGAGAGGTTTCAACAATAATTTGTTTGCATTTTTATTGCCTCTCATTATGCAGCTATAGTATGTTCTTAATTTGCTACAGTATATGGAGGATAGCTTTAAAATCTTTTTTTTTCTGAATATATTCCATCCTCTGCTTATGAATAAAATTGGGCCGTTGTCTTTCTTTCCTTCTGACCATGTGTCCACAAAATGTCTCCAATACACAAACAAACATGGAGGAAGCTTGACAGATTAATCACTACACCAGATTTGGAAAAGTTAATTGCAAGTCTGTTGCTACCACATATATTGGTCTGCCCCAACAGTAACTTCAGACATTGGTCAAGTTGTTCCTCAGTAGCTGCTTTCTTATTTGATTTTAAATTAAACTCAACCCACTTTACATCCGTAACAGTGTATGCTACATTTTTAAAATACCTTCAGCAAAGTAAAGTCCAGTATCCACAGCTATAGACATGAGTATGTCTTGGGCTGGTGATAAGTTCACCATCCTGTTACTGATGCTGTAATCTTTTAGGAAAACACTAACAATGGAATGGTAATGTCTTTGTTTTCTCAAAGTAAATTTTTCTATGACATTGAGTGGGAGGGAGCTTCTTGGCTAGAAAAGGAATCAGAACTTGGATTAGTGATTTTTTTCATTTTTTTCAAGGGAAAAGTGGGCTTTTCTCAATGGATACTGCCTCCAAAAATCGGGCAGAGAAAATATATAATGCTCAGACTTAGACTAGCATGTACCACTCCAATTCTGTTTTAGTTCTAATTCGGATATTTAATCGCCTCAGTTTTAATGTCTCCCTGGGTCGCAGCCATCATAGGATGGAAGGTGGAACTACAACCTGACTGGGATACAAGTCTAGTACAGTACATACCTGTTTTTTAAGTACAACTTGCTGTCTAAACTGTGAGAAACCTTTGCATTTTCTTAAAGGAATGTACAGTATATATCCATTAAAAATGTATTCTGGCCATAAGGAGGGTAAGAACGGTATTTCATGGCAGTGAAGAAGAAGAGAGACACAGAGAATGAATATTCATACCATTATACATTTTCAATAAAGAAAACCCATCAGGGTTTTGCTAGAATTTGTTTTACTGGTTAGAAGTGATGCACCAGTATTGACGCAAAATGCAGCTGAAAGACAAAGATATTACCATCGCAAGGCCTAACATTAAAATATGTTTCTTTTGTCTGTAATCAAACCGATAATAATAATAATAATAATAATAATAATAATAATAATAATAAACATTTAACAACACAGAACAGTAACTACCTAAATGTGTGTTACAGCCAGATTCTTTCATTTTAAAATCAGCCCTACTCATACTTTTAAAATCCCTGTTTTTAAGGTTACAAAAAGTGCATTTATCCATTTCATTTTCACCAGGCTGTAAAAAACCCAACTAGACGGAGAACAAACACACTGGAATTCAACACATTAATGGTGACAGGACCACAGCGGGACATGTGTTGATAAGCACAAGTCTTGTATCCAATTCAGGCATCATGTAGCCCAGAACAATGTGTCAGAAACTTTAAAGCACCCAGTATATTTAACAACATTTGACTCAATCTGACAACTACTTCTAATATTCAGTAGCTCGAGTGTAATTAAATTGGCTGTAATAAATTATTCATTTACATAAAGGAAAATATACTTACTTTTTTACTGTCTTGTAAACAAATTATTTTGGCAAATTACAAAATTCGGACTCGTGTTCCCTGACATCCTAACCTTGTTTTGAGCTACATCTGGTTTAAAAGAAATCCGGCTGCAAACATTCAAAACAACACCTGTGTTATTAAAATCTTAAGAACCAGTTAAAGTGCTCCATCCAGGGTCTACCTTCATTCTGTACACACATAAATAAAATTAATACAATTAATTTCCAATATTAAAATATAATGTTGTACGAATCTAGCAAAACATGGACAATATTGTTTCTAAAGGTCTTCTGCAGTGAAAAAAAACTCAAAACTTGTATAATGGTGGCATTAGCTTGAATTTTTGAAAGTGTTTGATTAGGCTGCTCCAGAGCTTTAAGTGCTTTAAAATCTACAAAATAAATCAACGTTGAATGATTTCAAATGCTCTTGCATTAATTTTAGCAGCAAAAGAAGTGCCTGGCAGTGTACTCAGTAACACAAGGTGCTGGCGATCAATAGAAATGATTTCTGCCTGTTAGATTTTTATTATTTAAAAAGGTCTTCTTAATGGTTTTAATTTATCATAGTTCCTCCCTTTCATATATTAAAATGAACTACAGTTAAATGAACATACCTTAAAACATTTGGCACAGTTCTGTTTTGCCATTTTAATCTGGCCCTGGTGAAGTGTGTGTTATAAGTGAACTCTGCTGCAGAGGTCACCTTGAACAATCTGTCCTGTTTCAAAGGTGATGAGTTGTCACACCATCAAAGTCTCCTTAAAAAGCAGTTTACAAATAATCCTCATCCTACTACTCTGCTTAATATACTGTTACACTGCACAGGTGCTATTGTGATCATCATACGTTTTCTGTTTTCGAGATTTAAAACACCAAAACCCTTAGTTCTGCACTTTAAATCACTACTGAATGTAGATCTAAAGCTACATCCTCACAAGTTTGTACCTCACAGCTGAAGACCTTATGGCAGTAATAAAATCAACTTTCATGTGGAATTTCTGTAGTCCTCTTGGCTGATCCTCTCCTCTTGCAGAACAGTGTGCGACAACTGTTTGAGAGCCATGACCCAAGAGTGCAGTTTGATCTCAAGGCTTCACCATGAGGCAATGACTTAATTACAGAATAGAAAAGAGACTTGCTAATGTGCCTTTAAAACCAGCGTCTAATTTTGATGAGTCTCAGGCTCATCTCTCCCTAACCTCACTTGCATTCTTCATTAAAGCGGTAACACAAAAGGTAAGTGTTTCTTCCTTCACAGTCCCATGAACCTCTACAAACTAAAAAGTTTGCTGTCGAGCCTTTTGTACATAACATGGAATATTACAGATTTTATGCCACAAGTTTCATATATAATATGAAATATCCTTCTGTGTGTGTTTGAGTGTCCACGAGTCTATGTGTGGGTTTCTGTTCAATGGCTCCCTGTGAATTAAAAAATCCATTAACTTGGAAAAAATGAAGTAATTCTAGCAGTTGAATTGAAGATGTCTTCTATAAAGATGATATGCAACTTTTTAAAATACTTGTTAAAGTATTGGTCATGGTCTTTTTTGTTCATTTTGTAAGCCAAGATGAAACTGTAGAAGACATTCACTGATGTCCTCGTAGTCACTATGGATTGAGCCACCCTACAATTTGTGGTCAATATATTCTCTGATGCTGCAGTACTGGGCAGACAATGGCTGCAGCTTTGTTTGGGGGTTCACTTCACACTGTCATCAAAGGAAGAGACTTCATTAATTCCAGTTATTATATGAACAACCATAATTGTATTCTCTGCATTTATGATGTGACTGTATTGTTCCTTAATTGGAACCACCTGTAGTGGTTACTGTCCCAAGTAGAGCTTCTGTTTAAAACCATAATTCATATGCATATTCTATTATTGAGATTCTTCAGCATAACATATTGCACTTTGCTAGTTTTGACTGAACCTTTATTGGGGGACGATAAATGTGCTATTACATAAGCCATAAGTAATAAGTCAAATGCAGATGAGTATCTCATCATATAATCATAACAGCATAGTGAAAGCACATACAAACTGATGAACCCGAGGAGATTGACCATTCTGCGTATTACACAGGGCTGTGTACACTGAAAATAAAGTGAATTATCTACCGAACCAGTACTGTACTAATTTAAAAAAATTATATATATCAGAAATGTAAATATTTCTTTATGTACTGGTTCATTTTCCTTTACATAAAAGGTCAGTCAGTTGGCTAGGAATTATAGTTATAAAAGAAGCTCAAGAGTAGGACCCTCTTATTAACTGAACAATAGTTGGGGACCTAAACCCATTTTAAAATCACCACCCAGTGGTTTTCTTTTTTTCATCTACACAAGCTCTGCAGGTTTTAATGCAAAGTTCCTTTGTCAGTGTCCAAAGCATGAGTTTTCAGGTTTAAACAACTGACTGCTGTTGGAACAGCCTTTATATAACATGGCTGCTTGTCTCCATATTGCTTGAACTTTGCTCATTTGTATGAAGACGGGGAAGATGAACAGAATTATTCAGGGCCAATGTGCCACACCCAGCCTTCAACAAACTGTGTTTGTTGTTGCCTCTTGCAAGCAGGAAATGAGGGCCACGCTAAGAAGCACTCAGTTCTTTTTGTTGTTCATTTCTCAAGAAATTGGGAAGGTAACCAGGAGAGTCTGATGCTTGCTTCAGATTGACTGAAGTGCAAAGTCCTCTTCCACAGCTAGTTGGAGGAATGCTGCTTCAAGTGGGCGTCCCAGTGATGTATCGTCTCTTTTCATTTCTTTTGGAATTGTTTTCTTCCAGTTGGGAGGAAACACAAAGTCTCAGAATGCTCGCAAAGGAAAAAGGCTATGAAGACCAGGCCCCTTCCTCCTGCTAGCTGGAGAAAGCACACACCCCAGCCGCTACACCACAGTGTTCCTCTGACGGTATGGTGGGGGTGGCAGCACTGTGCTAGGCTTCAGAGCGTACTCGGACAAGTACTCTGGGTTCTCCGCTACCACTGGCCTTATGCGCCCATTCTGTTTGTAGAAGAACTTGGTGTTGCATTCCTGTAGGTAATCTGGGTTGTGTAGGGTGGCCTTGGGGGGAAGACTGTGGTGCCAGTATTCGGGATTGTCAAAAGTCTTTTTCGGCTTCTTGTCAACCATGGTGCCCGTGGTGGTGGCAGTGACAGGGGGGGGCAACTCATTTTTCTTGAGGAATTCGGGGTTCTTCTCAGCCTTGTTGTGGAACGTGTTGAGGTACAGAGGCTCGTTCACGTACTCGTCTTCCACCTTGGGTTGCCCATTGGGGGCGCTGTGGTATCCTGGGTTGTCCAGTGCATGAACGTCTCCATTCCTGCGGCGTGTGACGAAGGGGTTTTCCTCTACTGGGTTCAGATAATCTAAAAATGAGAGCGATAGAATGGCTAAGAGTCAATTAGCTGTGTACCTCTATAATGTAATGAAACTGAGCTATGCAAGTTGAAAAGAGACTGAAACAATCTAACCATTTTATTTAAAGGCAGGAAACATTTGTTGTGATTGGAAGAGAACTCCCAGCCAACTTCTCTCCAAACTAAAGCTATCCCCTATTCTGCTTGTTTAATGTCCTCACAAACACGGATCTTTCACCACTGCCAAGCGATAAGGCTCAAAAGGAACTGAAGCACACAGCTCAGCCGGCATTTCTCAAACGCTATTTTCCTGTCATAAGACATTTTGCTTTGGGCTTGAGTTCTGAAGTTCTTTGCATCAAAGTGCAATATGCAGCCGAGTCTGACAAAGAAAAATAATGATAAAAGGTTTTTAATCTGAATGAAAACATAGGTTTTGTCATGGTTCACACAAATAAGTAACGTGTGATGTTACAATAACAAAGTTATATGAAGCGAGCCCCATTTCATGAACAATTTAGAAACAAGCAGATGATATCATTATCCCAAACATAACCCCATGATAATATCAAGATAATTTTATAACAGTTTGTGCCTTTTAGTTGTAAAGACAACTGGCAAGATGATTTCAATGTAAGTGCTTTGAAAGCAGTCTGCTTTAACCTCCATGCTCCACCATAGCAATTCAGGCAGACACCTACGTCATTTGAGGAACAATAAGAATGATAAAGAAAGCCTGAAATTTGACCTGGGAGTGACAAAACGCCATATCTGGGTGAAACAATTCAGATGCATACATAGATGGCTTGCAGGGAAAAAAAACTGCATTGGCTTAGAAGAAGAGCACACTAGGGCTGGCTGATTGGAGCTTTTGTGATGGTGAATGAAGATGACTTCTTTACTGCTCAATTTAACCAATGGTGTGACAATGGAAAACTGTCACATTGCAACCAACTCCTAGCCTGATACCGTCCGAAGACTGTGGTTGTGGAAGCTGATCCTTGACCCTCATCCTTGATGTCTAAGCCTGCTCACCTGTGGGCGTCTTGTCCTTCATGGGCGTCATGTACCCATCCTCGTCCATCTCTCCTCGTGGGCTGCGCTCCCCCAGGAAGACAGTGGGGTCTGCGCTGTAGCGCTGGGTGCTGCTGTCCTCACATTGCCGTGGGGACACTTGCTTCCTCAGTGTACCATTGCACCGCGGGTCATCGAACGACTCCAGGGTTGCCCCCTGCACTGCCGGAGGCTCAGGGGCGGCACCAGGCTGGACAGCCCGTGGGAGAGCTGGAATCATTTCCTCTGCATTAAAGCCCCCGTCCCGGTACACAAATTGATTCTGCGGGATAACAAACAAACACAAGACAATGAGAAGGAACATGAAAATAAAATGTACATAAACAAGTTCTGTATATGCTTTAGATAACTGAAATTCAGATTCTTAGATAAATGGATTTTCAGTCAGCTCAGGGATGAGGTGTTATGATTGAGTTAACTACTGTACATGTTAATCCTGTACATACAAAAAAAAAACAGAAAGGGCCAAATATCAAAAAAGAAAAGCACAATCAATATTGCGATGTCTGCCTCGATCAGTTTGCAAAAGCAGACAGATGATCACTCAACTAGCGGTGAGTATTATTTCTATTTTGGAAAATCTAATTTCACGCCCACACATTCCTCTGAACAGAACACAGATGAAATTTTAACTGTCTGAAATATTCCACAAATTTGCCATGTAGAGCTAAGAACTGGGAATGTGCTCTGGCCCTTGTCTGGACACTAGCAGACCTGAATTAGGTCACTCCCGATACTGAAAGCCTCATTAATCTTTACTCATTTAACCAAGGTTTGACAGTGGCGTTGTTGATACTTCTTGAGTTGCTGTCTAATTAACAGAAGACTGAAGCAGATTTATCTTCTTGCCAAACTAGCAGGATAAGTGCTCCTTACAGCAAAAGGAAATGGGGGTGCATTTTAATGGCAATTTTCAATTTCACAAACTGACTGTATGTACTAACATAAAGAACTTTTGTCACTGTCATATTCATGATACTCCCAAGCAGTTAATATGTCAGCAGGCTTATTTTTATTTTAGATTTCTTGAAAGAACTTCAGATTTCTCCTTTTTTGTAGCCAGCAAGCGCTCTTTGATTAATACCTCTTATATTTACACTTCCTATGGGCTTTCTCAATTTTTGGTGATTTCAAACACAAGCAGAGAACTTTACAAACAAGACATCACCAATCCTTTGAAACAGGACACATGACCACAAAAGAAAGGGAACAATTTGTCTCTAGTGGATACGTGTCAGCAAACAACTTCTTTTGCCACTTGAAAAATCATGACTTTTTTAAACTTCTGTCACATGGGAACCTTCTGTTTCTTACATACAAACATAAGCAAAAGGGACTGGATGGATTGTTCTTATTTGTATTTTTTATACCCCCTACAATAAGGCTAAATATCATTGCTACATAGACTATATTTCTGACACTTTTAAAAAAATGCAGATCTATGACTACTCTGTAGCTTCAAAGCCTCTTAGTTTTTCATGTATTCATGGGTTTACTTTACACAGTAGCAGCAGACTGTACTGAGCATAGCTCCTACTGGAGGCTGCCCACGCTCTCAAGACGAGCAGCCCTAAGGTGCCCCAGTCCTTATTTGGAGAGGGAGAGGGTCTGTGCAGGTGGGCGGAAGGCAGACTGGGAGAAATAAACCCCTTCTGGTTGTGTTTGATCTTGTTTATTTATTGCAGTTAAAATTGTGGGTTGGCGTGAGTGATCTAATGTGTATGTGTGGGGGGTTGTGTACTCTCCTTGTGTGTATGTGTGGGGTGCTGCATGTGATCATGTGTGTGAACATGCATGTCTGGGTCCCTTGGGTGACAATTTGAAAAGTAAGAAACCCGCTGAAGCAACAGTGTGCTTTTCCCCCCATTTTTATTCTGCTGGTTGTTTCTCAGAACTCTCTGACCTCAAGATCCTGCAGTGCATTCCAATGGCCTTCATGAAAGTTGATCATGGTAAAAAGGTAACATCCTAAGCTTTGTGGCTTTTATTCACCCTAAGCTTTATTCAAATGTTTTTCACCAAGCAGATTCTAGGAGTGCAAAACAAACTGAGCTCTGGTTTGCCACTACTTTTCTGTTCTTCCTCACTGTCTGAGGTTTTCAAGACCCTCGGAAGGAAAACAAAAACCCAGCTGGTTTTCAAATACTGTATTTAATTATATTCCAGTGACTGCTGCAAAGTAACAATATCCCTGCTCTCTCGCTGTTGGTCTTTATTTGATTTCGTTTCGTCATATTTATTTCACAATGCCTGTGCCTAACCATCTAAATCCAATCCCCTTTTCTTTCAAAAGCACAGACTATCTGAACAGATTTTTGGATTCAGACACATTCTATTTCATGCATATGCGGATAAACAGGGAAAAAAACAAAGTAACAGGAATTAGATGTTCAACAAGCTAGAAAAAATGTCAGTGATGTTTTTGCTTGTCAGACTGTTTCCAGTGAAGTCAGGCTCAGCAAACAGGATGCTTTCAGAGAGGTAACATAACCCTGATTTTCAAAGATGCACTTCAGCACATAACCTTTTACATTATTGAGTCTGTGTCTTTCCAATCAGGAGCCTGTGGACTTATTCATGCAGTTCCCAGCATCTGGAAACAGTCAGCTGTGTCAGTAGAGTGCACTGGTGCACAGACCCAGCCTTCAGGACTGCATTCTTACTTTACTTATAATGAAGTTTTTTTTTTTTTCATACAGTAGTGCCCTCTCGGCAACCTAATACTTACAGGGACTACAGTGTCTATCTTCCTCACATAGGAAGTAGGCCATTGCCTTCCAACTTCCACCCTGAACAGGAATTATCCTATGTGCCAAAATCTGTCTCCAAGTTGTACATGTCTCCTAACCACCAATAACACTTAATGTACACCAAAGGGTGCATTTCAGGAACCGGCTTTATTTTGTTCAGCTGGGAACAAAATAGGAACTGTCCGAAAACACTTCATTATTAACTAAACCGGAAATAACTACATGGCTGATGGCTTCTTGACATGGGAGTTGCGCAAGATAACAGAACAATTAAAATTTAATCCATCAGAAAAATGACGGGACAATTTGAATGCTATTTCAGATTATTGGTAATGACATAATATGACTCTATATTCTTGTTCTAACATTATTTCTCAAAAAGACAAATTATTTTAATTTCTCCCTCTTTTATTCACAAAGTTCTATGCTCAATGGCTGAGTCTAGGAGTGTGGGCTGGTAGGCTACTATAAGCCAGGCAGTCATTGACGCCCTGGTTATGATGACCTTTATGTTTCAATTCACGACTAGAGTGTCTCATTGCATTTTTAATGAAGGGAGCCCATCTTCCGGCCTCCCTGGGGTCTCTGCCTGCCTGTCACATGCGCACAGGAGTAATAAGACATGCTAGAACACAGCTGGCCATGCAGAAAGTAAACAGCAGACCAAGCCCATCATCCTTCAGCAAACAGCGCTCCCATTTTAGTGAAGACACTGCTATTTACAAGTGCGAAACTCAGTAATGAAAGTGGTACTCAGGAGGCCGGAGTTTAAAAAGCCATGGCCTTTATGCGATACACTGGGATACAACGAAAAACATTCAGTGGGGCTCCGTCTTGTTAATGAGCTCAGCTCTGCAGGGGCTCTGTCCAGTTGATGGGCATGCACTATGCCAAACAGCCCTGGCACTTCACCCACACTCAACCTGGCCTGCCCATGCTCGTGTACTGTATACTGTATATACAGTACTCTAATGCAGAGGTCCTGGTCCAGTCATGGAAAGGCTTAGTGTCTTCTCATTTGTGCCCCAGTTGAGCTCTCAGCTACGTAACTAATTTCATTATTTATCTGCAGAATCACAATACTGCTTACCAGACTTCAATGTTTTATATGTAACAGCTTCCTTAATTGGGTTATTTGAACGACTCAGATTGAAACAAAACCCAGAAGCCTCTAGGTGCCCCAGGGGAGTTGAGACTCCTGCTCTATACAGATCAGGTGGAATTCTAAAGGTTTTTACATGCAGAACATTTTTTGTTTGTGGGTTTTTAAAGCGCAAGTATCTGCAGAACAATGTTATCTATTCTGTATTCTAGATGGACTTGGTAAATAAAGACACTCATGAGCACAGATGAAATTCCCTCCAAAAATGTTTTTCATAAAAAAACAATCTGCTTTAAAATAGTTTTTTTTTTCTAAACAATCCTAGCATCAGTTCTGATAAAGAGACAAAGCACATTGTAAGCACAAGGGCGTTTGGAAGGGCCTGCCTGCTGGGATATGGGATGCCTACCCTGTTGGAGTCAACACGAGGACGGGGGGTGTACGATGGAGGGGGGAGGTTGAAGGCCTGAGGGACCAGATACTCCTCTGCATCCATCAAGTCATCTAGCTCCTCCTCATCCAACAGGCTCTGGAAGAACTTGCTGTCATTGGGGCTGGGTAGCTTCATTCGGTCATCCCCCTGGAACATGGATACACTCACGTCAGCGTTAGGGGAACAGCATGGTCTCCAATGTGCTGAACTATCTTTTTAACTTTAAATAAGGAGGAGCATTCCTATGGAATGAGAGAGTTCTTATGGTGCGAAAAAGGCATTACACAAAAAAAGAAAGACAAAGAAATGGCATTCCTTGTTCTTTGAAAAACCCATCAGTTAATAAGGCACTCCCACACTGTGGGCTTCTGTAAGGCGTTGCTGTGTAACGGCCACAGTGGCTTTGAGGGAGGACTTACCTGAATGACCAGATAGCGCTGCGGGTCCCGAGCCATCCTGCTGAATTCTGCTGCCAGCTCCTTGAACTTGGGTCTGCTGTCCGCGTCAATCATCCAGCCTGAGAAACAGTGGAAAGGTTCAAAACGGCACCACAAAAACTCTCTGCTTTAATGCTGGATTTTGCTTCCTCATGTTGTGGATCCTCTTGGAGGGTTCAGATATATACACTCAAATTGGGCCATGCAAGGAGCCTCTGAAAAGGCTTGAAGATGCAGGCCAAATCACTGTGAATAAGAAGAGCTAGAACACATCCGTATGAGGTAGGCACATGCACAAACGTGAGTAAAGATACAGAATCGGGGTTTGCATCATTGCTAAACTGTAGGTACATGTACCCCCAGGGCTACACCAGTTCTCTCAAGAGGGTCTTCAGAGAATATTTTGTAATGTTCCCCGGATTTGTTAACTTTGCAGATTTTATGTAACATCATCTTTTTTTCCTAAGCTATTTTTTTTTACTGTGAGCTTATAACCATTACGACTCACCGCGCTTAAACCTGTTGAAAATGTACTTTGTTGATTTCATTTCAAGCGTACCAATGAGGACACTGCACACAGATATAATGACGTGCACTGATTAAATCCAATTACATTAGGTGTCAAAAGGATTGTCCCCATTTAAATCATTTTTGACGTAGTGAAAGATGGACTGAGTATTGTATATTAAACAGCAAAATGAGCACATGTCAGAGATGGAGTATTAAAAACATGCAAACTTCCAATGAAACCTTAAATATCTGTACGCCAGCTGTGGACATAACATAAACACTGACAAAATGAATATTCAAAAAGAAAGGCAATGATGCATACGGTACCAAATAAAAAGCCAAAAAATGCACTGAAATACAGTAGGATTCTTTTGAACTGGTGTCCATGCTTTTGCTCAGCCATTGAGTGTGTTACAGTATGTGGTGTAGTGCTTTCGAACAACAGCTTAAAATCATCTCCTTTACACAGACACTGGAAAATAAAACACAAGCAGCACAAAAACAAACCACTTGACATTTTCACAGCTTTGGCCAAGCAAAAAAATACTATGCTCCACAGCTGACAGGACAAAGGCCCTTGAAGCACCAAGCACCAAGAGAGTTACAGAGTGGCAAGGTCAGGAATGTCTCATACAATAGCTGAGGAATTAATGCCACCAGTGACAGAGGACCTGGTTGGCACTTTTCTTATTTCTAAGGCTAGAAAAGCTATTCAGATGGCGTTATTATGCAACAACACGATTTTCTGAGACAATTAGCAAATCAAATTATCAGCGACCATTATTTGCTCTCGAATTGGATGAGATCCTAGAAGAGGGACACTTGTCTCATTTTGTTGCTCTTCCTTCACATTTAAGGATACAATATCCTTTTTGTGGAATGACAACCAAAGCTGAACAAAATATCCTCTATATTCGATGTGAGGTCTTACCAGTAAAGTTTAAACTACCAGTAATACCAATTAACAGTACCCTCACTATTTTCAACAGTTGTTGTAACACATGTACTGTACGCACTGTATGTGACCACAGCATCCCTCAACGTCAGAGAGGCCTACAGCGCCGTTCACAATAATAAATGCTTGTGAAAGTGGATTTCTGGCAGTCCCTGGGATAAAACTGAAAGTATCACTACCATCTATAGGTTGAAAACAGCTTGTGACTGAAATTGCCACCTATCCTCCTTCACACGATTTTGGTTCAATTAACAAGTTTGTGACATTAAGGGACCATCCTTTTAACTACAAAATGATTTGTAAAATGGGTATTAAATTGGATATGATTCAAAACTGTTGGTATATCTGGATAGGTTTATGTATAACAAAGTTTGGGATCCATTGTTTTAGCATCTTAGTACTGTATCTTTTAGTATTAGTATTTAGTATCTTAAAATGGTTTAATCTGTAGTGTGTGAGGCTCTGCTGAGGTCTAGGTAGAGTCAAAGGAAGATAGGGAAAGAATTTTAAGTCTTTGATCTCCTATTGTTCAATTCAATACCAGCTTTGATCTCCTCAAGCAAATTAATGAGTGCCTCAGGTGCCAGTCAGTATAAAAAAACTGGTCCCTATCCTCCAAGAACATACAGGAGCTGCACACACATTAACACCATAAACCATTCTCCTGTTATAATTTCCTCACAATTAATAACTCTTCAGTTTATACCTACTCATTATCTGAATTACCCACAATTACTCACCTACTCAAAAAATGCAAGCAAACCTCAGCAATTTAAGATCACCCTGGCAGAATTACACATGCAGGAGACCAATAAACTATTGCAAAAATCATTACAAACAACAAATGTGCAGCTTATTTATAATTAAAATAAGTGCCTCGCATCTTTTACTGCTACATTTAGGTCTATTTGGCAATCAGGCTGTCTTTCAAACAGCCTGACAGTTCCATTCAGAGGGTCTGTTAAAACCATCAGAATCAAGAAAGAAATACACAAAGACATCTAGTAGAACAGGTGACCCCTCAGGTGGTACTAATGCTATTGTCTCTCTCTATATACACCTTAATAGGTGTGAAATGTTTTCCTAAGCAAGCAGTGTGTGCTTAAAGCACAGAAACTGATATATTTCTGAGCCTATATAACACTACCAATTGTACATGCTGAGCTTTGCAGTGCAAGAGTGACACTCCATCAAGGGGCCTGCATTGCCACTGCAAAGATTAATAACCAGAGAAGTTAAAACACAAATAATATGTCACTCATCCTTATGGATGACTGAAGCATCAGAGTGCTCACATGATTTACAGCAAAAAGAACGTCTTTTGGAAGATCAGGGCCAGTGGACTCTTGGCACGCATGCATTTTGAAGATTGCTAGCAGATATCAGAAAATGATGCTACCTCACGAGCATACAGTCCCATCCCAACTCTCAGCTATGTGCAGTGACAGTGTAGAGACAGACCATTTCAGAAGAGTCCGTAGTAGGAATCAGTGTTACAATTGTGGCACTAATTTTATTATGTAAAGAACATACCCTGCAGTTTGGAAAAAATACTGTATGCAGAGCAGACAAGCTGCAGGATCACCTGGGGTGATGTACTGTAAAGTATATAGAGAAAGGTGCAAGACATAGGTCTTACATTTCACCATGACCATATACACATCTATGGTACAGATGGGTGGCTGAGGAAGGCGCTCCCCCTTTTCCAGGATGTCTGGGATTTCCCGGGTTGGAATTCCATCGTAGGGCTTCCCTCCGAAAGTCATCAGCTCCCAAATAGTTACTCCTGGGACACGTAAAGTTAGAGGAAGCACAAGTGGTGTACAGTAAATGACAGCCAGTTCAGTTATCTTCCACCAGTGGGTTACAGTAACTTATCCGGTGTGTTTTTAATGAGGAATTCTATAACTTCTACAGTTCTGCAGATTACAATAAACAATACTTTTATGCAGACAGTTATTTTATATTTGGTACCCGTTCAATTTATTTTAATTGTATTTTTTGTTTCTGCAGCCCCACATCAGAAAAGCAGCCTCTGGCTGATTGTGGTAAATTCATACTATAGTATTTCCCATTTTTGTGTCTCTCTTCTCCTTCTGTGTACAGTATGTTGTGAAGGTGATTGAACATTCTACATGTATCATATTGTAATACTCGAGGATCAAGTGAGGATCAGTGGTTCATCCAAGCCACACTCACCATAGCTCCACACGTCACTCTGGTGCGTGAACTTCCTGTAGTGGATACACTCCAGTGCCATCCACTTGATTGGCATCTGAAAAAGAGGGAAGGAAGTGTCAAAATGCACCTCCATCTCATCTACACAGCTCCACTGGTACAGGTGTGCTAAACTGTCTGCCTACAGTATGTGTTGATAAACAGTTTCAATAATTATCATCTTGTTTCAGATTACCTTCTACCTGTAAAGATTTCTACTGTACATGTGCAATTGGAAAGTTTCAACTTAGTTATGGAGCGCACATCCTTGATGGAAAGTGGGTATACACAGAGAATATTTGCTTGCAACAGATACTGTATCTAGGCAAAAAGATGAATTTCCCATACACAAAGTGCATTTACCCATCTTCTTTGCACATATTTCTGTGCACTTACAACAATAAACACAGGACAATAGTTAGGTAAAAAATCTGAATTTCACTCTCGGCATTCTGAAAGCATTGAGGGATTTTTATTTGCTTTTCAAAAGAAAATATTGGATACAGTGCTTCGCAAATCTATTAAAACCCTTCCTATTGTGTCCCATTTTGTCATGTAACAAAATGATAGCGTGCACAATTTTATTCAAAATCTGAGTGCCCACAATGAAGATTTTAAAGGGGAGGATAAGTTACAAACGATGCGAGCAAAAACTGAAATACTGTATATTGATATCACAAGTATTCAGACCCCTGGCCTCAGTGTTTTGCGGAAGCATATTTGACTGCTATTAACCTCAGGTCTTTTTGATAAGTCTCTACCAAGCTTGCAAACCAGTTTGGTGCAATTCTTGCCCAACATCTTGGCAGATGTACTCATGTTTTCTCCAATTGCTTTGGGGCTGCTTCTAGAATTCTACAAGATGATCAATATCTTTACTTTGACTAAGCTACAATAACATTAACGTTCTTATTCTTAAGCTACTAAAGCCACTACAGTGTAGCTTTTGGTCATTGTGCTGCTGAAAGGTCAATTGTGCCCCGGTTTTAGATCTGAAGCAGGCTTTAATCTATGATGTGCAAGTACTTTATCTTTATTCCCATCAGCCTTGAAAACCTTTTTAGGCAGAACTACCACATAGTAGTAGTAGTAGTATACTGCCTGACAGCTGGGATGGTGATAATTATGCACTACGTTGGTTGTGTCAAATGTCATTTCTTGCATTAAGACCAAAAAGTTCAAATTTTGTCTTGTCTGACCACAAAACATTTTTCTACATGTTGAAGTTCCCCTCACTGATCACTCACAGTAGGTGCACAGTTGCATACCTCTTGCATACACCATGTAGAATTTGATTTGAGATTTTTTTTTTTGCTATTCCAAGCAAACCTCCTTTGTACAGTCACCAGGAATTTGTCAATCCATGGACATTTTCACCTATCTCAGCCACTGAACTCTATACAGTAGCCTTTGGCCTTAGAGTGGTGTCCCTCAACAGTTTCCTCCTTTGCCCGACAAATTGGAAGGCAAGTTTAGAAAGACAGCCTGATCTTCTAAGATATTAGATATTAAGGGTCTGTGAAATGTTCTGTACATGTCTCCTTTATATACTGTAACTATAACTTTAAACCATGTTTTGTTGTAAAAGTGCCTTAGTCTTCATGGTGAATCTTTGCTTGAAATTCACTATCTGACTAAGGAACTTTGCAGAGACAGATGTTTTATTCTCAAATCATGTGAACCACTATTATAATGCACAGACAGAGGTCACTCAACTAATTGTGCACCTAATTAAGGCAATTACTATAGGTGTGCCACAGTAAAAGGTTTGAATACTTATACAATCTGGCCTTTTACATTCTTCTTTCATATCAAATATCTATTGATTTCTTTCATTTTAAAATACTGCTTTAAATATGTGTGGCTGGTTGTGTATATGACAAATATTTCACGGGGAGTAATGCCAACCAAGAATGAGATGTTTTGCTAATGTTTTTTGCAATGTACTGTATTAGCATAATATATTATGTCTTAACCCTCATTGTTAAGAGGTAGCCTCCTGACAACAGTCTGAATACTTGTGCAGGGCAGTGTGAGTATACATACATTTGTATAACACCATATTATTTCTAAAGAACAATAAAAGAAAAAGAGCATGCAATACACGCACATGTACTGTACAGTGTGGGCAAAAGGCAAAAGGGCTCTCCAAACAAAATAAGCTACTTAAATATGTAGCAGGTACAGCTGAAACAACATAGGCATATTCTACACACATACAGTACCTGTACAGAGCAATTCTGATATGAAGGAAATCCAGCAAATGGATATCAAATAACATCAGCAAGCAAAAAAAACAAAACCAAAACAAATTCCCTCTTCAGACTGAAACAATCAGCATAACACTAACTAATGGTTATATTTATAACTGTCTGATGTAAGAGTTTTCTCCACGGAGCTTTGATGACACAGTCAGTTAGATTACCACTTCAGCATCCTGACATTATTACAGGGCTCCTGCAGCAATGCAGTGACTCATCTCACCCTTTGAGAAGATCACAGTCATTTCAACATCAGGAATCTCTGATGATGATATAGAGGAACATGCTTTCATAATCACAGTGAATAATTCACTGGTTTTATTTCTCTTTTCCTCATTATTATTAACTTTTTCTGTAATCATTTGAATCTTACTGTTTAGCTTGCCATTTTGAAAAGGAAATAACATCCGATTAGAAAAATACAAGCCTTTCATCTCAGTACAAATTGCCAAGATGAAAGATAAATGGAATATTATGTAAGGCACACCAAAAAGACACACTGTAGATACAACACTACTAAAATGTTAAAACTGAGGATACCGTCAACAACAACAGAATAAACAGCAGGAGCTTTTATGTGGAATTTTAATACTGTAAGTCATATCAAAAGTTATATGAGAACTTGCAATAGTAAAATTACTATTATAACAGCATTTTTTACCTGTTTGAAAATTTTCTTCCAGATGATGGATTAATGTATACAATTAACTTTCTTCGGCTATTAACAAAGGATTTTGGTGTATTGTGCTCATACAGTATGTTGTGGTTTGAAGAAAAGTTTCATATCTGCTGACTGGAGAACTTTAGAGACCTCTTGCAGATCTGCTCAGTTGAAACTCTAGCTAGGGTTAGGGTTAGTATTCCCACACTAATTAGAAAGCTCTAACGCTTGTGGCCCCACTGAATTTGTGGCCCCACTGAATTTTAGGACAAGTGATATTTTGATCCTATTTTGAAGTTTTTATTTCAGAGACTTTTGGCCACCTGTTTTGCATATCTTTCATTAGTTGCATCCCAAAACTGCATCAGATCAAAAGTTGGAAGAAAACTTGTTCTATTGAGTAAACTCTCTTAATTTTGTCATTTAATTAGCAAATAGAAGTATAACTACAGTAAACATTTAATGGTTCTTGCAACCCTAACCCTACCCTGGCCTAAAACGCACGATCATTCCAATACCATTATAACAGCATTTTTCACCTTTTTGAAAATTTTTAGTAAAGGTGATGGATGAATGAATAAAATTAACTTCCTTCAGCTATTAACGAAGGATTGTGGTGTTTTGTGTCCATATGTTGTGGCTTGAAGAAAATTTTCAAATCTGCTGACTGGAAAACTCCAGAGACCTTTTGCAGATCTGCTCAGTTGAAACTCTAGCTAGGGCTAGGGTTAGCATTCCCACACTAATTAGAAAGCTCTTATGCTCTGCACTGGAATCTGTGGCCCCACTGAAGTTCAGGACAAGTGATATTGTGATCCTATCTTAAAGTTGCTGACTGTTTTGAATATTGCAACTTTCAGTCATCCCAATGCTACTGTACCAGTGCCTTCTTCATTTCTAGATACACAATTTAATGACAGGTGATTTACTTGAAATGCATATAAAAAATAAATTGTCAAAACCTATATGAACCAAACAAATTACAGTGTTTGTATTATTAATATTTAAGTTGGGTTCAGCTTATGTACTGTAACTTTTGGTGAGATATAAAAGCAATAAGTGTCCTTTCTCACTCTAGAATAATACATAGGCATATAAAAGATGAACTGATGATATTTTAAATTGTTTAAGAACAAAACTGTGAAAAGCAACTTGAAAACTTGAAAAAAGTAAATAACTTATACATTAAGAGAGATGTTCTGAGGTTAATCTTACTACAGGCGGTGATGTATATACTAACAATCTCTGAATTTCCAGAAACAAAATCGGAGGGAAATAAGCATGTTATATATCTTCAAATTTATCTTGACCATAACATTCAGGTAAAAAAATGTTTAAAAGTTCACACAAAAAAATTCATGCGAAAATGAGTTATGTGGTTTCCAGTTTTCCGATGTTCCCCTCCTTTCTATAACCCTATGCATATTCTTCCCACTGTTAGTAGAACCTAAACCTCCAACATGAACCCAGAAATTATGCAGTGTTAAGCTGCAGAAAATCACACACTGCATGTTCACGTGGATGTGGTGACAGTGTTTTCTCATATCAACTGGGTGCCTTGTGTCATATGAAGACACTATCCAATCAGAGACAATTGAAAAGAGGTTGGCCAAACTCCATATACTAGACACCTCCGGGAAACAAACAGAACCATCCCTAGCTTGATGTTTCCCAGCATCCCATTGCACTAACCTTGCCCCCATCAGCGTTGTACTCCTTCTCGTCCCCGTCCAGCAGGCGTGCTAGGCCAAAATCCGTGATCTTGATGTAATTGGGTGATTTAACCAGCACATTCCTGGCTGCCAAGTCTCTGTGGACCAGCCTTCTCTCCTCCAGGTACATCATCCCCTGTTAAACACAAGCATAGCTCCTGTCACACATGGAGACACATGTAAACCTTTATAATAATACATCTTCAGTGAGATGTTTCTCTTGAAAGCTTGCTTACTGAGCACAACATCATAAAACGTTAACACTTTCTTCCCTAATAAGATAAATATTGTATTTTACATTCTTAATTTCTTTTTGGAACTCAATGTACTCTAAATGATGAGGAAATATGAAAATGTCTGTAGTCTGAGTGATTGCATTCCACTTTCTCAAGGCAGTGTTTTCCTTATCCTTGAGTAATACTGTTCTTCTTTGAAGAGGCACTCTTCTTGTATATGTAGCTGAAGTTTATCACAGGTCAATGTCACCTTATGGTGAAGCAGAACTACAGCAAGTAAAAAAACTCAAACTCAGGTTAACCTGTATTTATGTTGCTCTCACATCACACTTTTAACATCTGTGATGACACATTTGTATTTTCACAGAATGTTTGTCCTTTTCAAGAAGTAAGAAGAGTGACATAAAAACACAGTCTAAACGTTTTTTTTTTTTTTGCAGTTTTAAAACATCAATCATTATGGAGTAGACAACATTCACAATGGGGAAGGAAATATGTTCTGGAATAGGTAACAGTGTTTAAACTTACAGAATGACCGGCAAGCTGTTAAACCTCATATGGGATTAAAAAGATGGTATTAGGTAATGTCCGTGTTGAGACTTAAAAAACTTTGAATAGCACTCTCACAAGCTGCATTGCTTCACTCCAATGACATTGAAAAGGAGTGATTTTGTACTTGGCAGATGAAGAATGGATTGGATTTTAATTTAATAAACTGTTCTCACACTTAATGTCCAATTAACAGCTCATCCATATAATTATCCTTAACCTCTTGTATGAGCACTGAGAGGATTTAAAAAGCAACAGATGCTTTTGGTTCTGTGATGCAGATGTTTTAAAAAACAAAATTGTAAGTCTTAATATGAGGTGAAAACAGATTGCAATTGGTTTCTTGAATGGTAGTCTCCATTAAACACCCAGTAACTTCTACCTACTGTACTGTATATCTCCACTACACACTCCCAACTATTTCTTGCCCCACATTTAAAACAGAACACAGACGCACATTTACAGTAAACACAACATTTTTTTTTACTTGTTTACGTCCAGCCAATTACAGCACATTTACAAATCATGCTGCTCCCACCCATGCAGTTCCAGCCAATGAGAGCTTCACTGGCTGATATTTCAGTCTGAAGGAGGAGGGGATCTGTAACACCAAAAACGCAAAGAGCTCCCTCAACCACCCACCTTCCCCTAATCAGGATACTACAGTTAAAGATAAAGCATGACAATTGCAATATTTACATTACTTATGTTAAAATTACAGTATGTGTGTGCATTTTGATTGTCTGTTGCTTCCTGTCTTCTTTATTCAGATGCCTTGTACTGTACTGTGTCATGTGATGGCAGTGGCATGTGGGATTCTGGATTCAGGTGTGTCTGTTTTGTTTGTACAGTCTCCATGACTGTCATCACAAGCTCTACTAAGCCTTTGTTTCACTTTTAATGCCTGTAATTATATACAGAAGAAAATATTTTAATAATTACGTTAAAATACAAACTTGATTTGCTAAGGCTTCAAATATATTTGTTGTTTCAGGAGCTACTCAAGATCAAACATTGTGAACCACTTTCAATTGAGAGCTGAAATGCACTGCCTGGTATAACAACACCTAAGTGATCAAACCAGAGGCATTGATTTTCTAGACGCAGTGAACAATACATGTCATTGATTTAGAGGCTACTGAGAAAAACACCTGTTTCACACGGTAACATTTCTTTTGTTAAAAAAAACAATCTTTGCTATTTTCTTGTTAAGAATCATTATACTGTATATCCCTGAAGTTCTGTGGATGCAATTTGAAACTGCAGGCAATTACACCATAAGAATGCACTAAAAACATAGGAAACACTAATATAAAAGAAAAACAGAACAAGTAACAAACAGAAAATGGTGCTGACTGTCTATTTGGTTGTGAAGAGCCATTATAATTACCTGTAATAATTTTCCTTTTGTTTAGAATAACCTTCCCTTTATCTTTTTTACCTAACAATTATAGTGCTCCTACATTCATATTTTCCTATATTCTTGTTGCATTATTATATTTTCTGTGGGATTTCCTATATTTTTACTGCACCTTGTCTCTCTCATTGTTATTGAAATTTGCATTTACTGTAGCTACAGTATGCTGTCTTAGTTGTTAGACTGTTTTGTCCATTTTCCAATGATTGTCTCTTATGTGTTCCATTCCATTGTTTGAAATAATGACTCAATGTGATGAAATCCATGTGTGTGTCATACAGTATACAGTATAGTGGTGTGATTGGCAGACGTGGATCACATGACCTGGGGTTTATAAACTAACCTGTGCCTCAGGCAAGACACAGAAGACAAAAACAACAGCAGGAGGCAAGACTATAGCCAGAGGGCATCCACTGTGGGCCTTCTGGGAGACCTTGTGAAAATTTCTACAGGGAAAAGGGTAATATCACCTCCTACAGGCATCCAGATGCTAAATGTTATTATTTAACATCTTCTGTGCAATATTAATTTTCCTAAGGTCTGCAGTCATTTAAAGAAAGTCTTAATCATTCTGGTTTCATCCTCTGTCCTCTTTGTCTGATCTAGGCAAGACAAATTGATGGCAGCAAAAACTATCCTTTTTGAGTTACATTTTAATTTGTATCCCCCCCGCCCAAATTTACATCTCTTACATCATTCTTTGGAGTGAATGACTGATTGTACCATAAACCTCCCATCAGTGTTTTAGATTTAGGCTAATTTTTTTCTGATTCAGCGCACACAGTATATCTTTCTGCTGCACACCTAATAATGGAAAGCAAACGTTCAATAACCTGTACCAGTCATCAATTTTTTATGAATACAAATGGCCACAAAGTGAGAGGCCCAGTTTCAGAAACTAGTTCCAATTTATCACACGAGCAAAAATAGTGGATGGCTAGGAAATTGGGGGGAAAAAAAAACCTCTTCTGCTTTAAGAGAGAGCCGTGTTGAAAGAAACGTACACTCCCAGGAACAAAAGAAAACCTCTCTTTAATTATTCTGCCTTGAGCCTCTATGGAGGACTAGGGTGTTCTGTTGCTAGGCAATTTCAAAAAGCAAATGCCAGTTTCTGGTCAGACCTCACGGCTGCCACTTTGGAAAGAGAGAAAGACAGTGTGCTACAGCAGGTGTACAGTAGGTGTGTGTCTTTCTCCCTTAATAAGCCTTCTTCTTGTGAATACATTTAAATGTTTTTAAAAAAAAATTCGCCCAAATCAAACAAGTAAAATACAATCAAGGAAAGAAAACAGGCCTCTCATCCCAAAACATTCCGTTTGTCCATCCCAGATCATCTCCAGTAATCCCTCCATCATTGAGAAACTAAAATAAAATAAGACTGCTACTGTACAATAGTACAGTATGTGTCCCCCACAGGTACAATGGACCTGAGCAGCTGAGAGCTCTATCTGGGATAATACAAATTCTGCCACCAAAATTGTCACCTAATTATTGAATGATCTCTTCAGAACTTTTAACAATTTGTAGTAACTGTTCAATCATTAACTATTGTCTTCAAACTGTACCTTGGCAAGGAAAATTTTTCACAAAGAATAAATGTGCATATGTAGGATCCAGCCTACAGTATATACAATGCAGGCTCAATGTCAGTAAAGCTGAAATTAAAAACCTGATGTTTGTTCTTATGTCTTTCTTAAAGTCATGAAAAGGGCTAATTCCTAGGACCACAGAACAAGTTTCTCTTCGTCCCCTTTGGGGCACACTGTGTTTTTCTGGTTCATAGCTAGAAGGGAAACAAATACATAATAATGGGCTGAAGAAGTGGTGTTATGCAATTGCATTTTTCTTGGTCTGCTTTGAGGGTTGTCTGAAACATACGGTTACTGTGTACCTCATTACAGCAAAAATGCTGAGCCCCTTTCTTGTACAGATTCCATTTCAGGACTAAACAGGCACCCAGATGAAGAGAATGGACATGACTGTAAAAGAGCAAGTTTTCTATGTACACCTGTGTACTGAACAGTGTGTGTTTTTAGTGTGTTTTTAAGCAAGTAAACGTTTGGAAGGAGTTTTCTTAGAATACAGAAACATGTGACTACATGGGATGATGCTGGACAAAGGAATTCAATAGCACCATTTCTAAACAATCCAATCACAAAAAAACAAACTTCAGTTGACCTCTATCATCCAGGCTGCAGGATTACTCTACAAGATCTATCCGTCTCCACTAACATACCACAAACAGACTTACATTTACCCGTTCAGACTCCCCAAGGCTTTGTCTCTCTGCCTCTGAAGGAGTAAACCTTAGTACAACATATTTATGCCACTGAGAACCATAAATGTTGCACAATCCTTCACAAAGAGCAAGACTGAAACCCGTTAAACAGTTGAACAATTGAATAGCTCAACAACTTCATCAGTGCTATCTCTGGAGACCAAACAACACTGTACCAGCTGCAGTACACAGCTTGTTTCAGCAAGTAAAATATCAATAGGAAATGAAAATTAGGATGACTCGTTTCTCCTTACTAAGCTGTTTTGAAATATTACTTTAAAAACATGCTACATTATAAGTCAGAGTCAATAGACGCATTGAACTATAGTAAGACTTTATTATAATTAAACTAACTACACCATCCATGTAGGGATATCTGCCATACAATAAAGCACTGTGTACTATGTACAGATGATCAAAATTAATTATGAGGTTATTAAACATATTAAATAAAATAAGATGTATTTAGCATGTCTGGTTAGTCACATTAACTTTGATTCTCTTCATAAGGCAATTGAACATCTCTGTAAAATTTGTATTTTCCTATAGTATGTCAACATCTGGTATCATTTTCTCTGAGGCAGAATGAACTGAATTCCAAACTGTGGCAAAAGCCTTCAAATTCATATGTACTGTAGTTCTGCTTTAGTGCTTCA